CAAATAGGGAAAGAGACAGAAAGCAGGAAACTACAGTCAGTTAGTTTAACATCTGTCATAGAAAAAAATGCTAGAAGCTACTATTAAAGTTATAGCAAGTCATTTAGATAAGTTCAAGGTAATCAACCAGAGTCAACATAGTTCTGTGGATAAGGATAAACTCATGGATGTACTGTACTTGGATTTGCAGAATGTAGTTGATAAAGTTCCACATTGAATAAAAGCTGCTTGTAGAGGGCAGCATATTGGTATAGACAGAAGTTTGACTGCCTAACAGGATTCAGAGAGTAGGCACAAATAAGTTTTTTCCTGGTTGGAAAGATTAAATGCATGATGTGCCACAGGTAATAGTGCTGGGACTTCAATTGCAAGGACGGAAGATACATTTGCCAAACCGATGGCACAGACAGATAGGGAAGTAAGTTGTGAAGGGGAAATTGGATGTTACGAAAAGATTGATAGTTTAAGTGACTGGACAAAGATCTGGCAAATGGAGCAGAAATGGGGGAGTGAAATTATCCATCTTGACAGAAAACAAAAAGCATATTATTCAAATTTTGAAAGATTGCAGAGTTCTAAGATGCAGAAAGATCAGCGCTCTGCGTGTCCTCATTCATGTGCAGATGGAGCAAGTTAATAGAACGTCACTATTTATTGTAAGGGAAATTGAACACAAAAGTAGGAAGGTTATGCTTCAGTTACACAGAACACTAGTGAGGCTACATCTAGAGTACTCTGTATAGTAGTTGTCAAATATTTAATGAAAGCTGTAAATGTTTTGGAAGCATTTCAGAGAGTGTTTATCAGCCTAATATATGGAATAGGTGAGTTATCTTGTAAGGTAATGTTACACAAGCAAGGAATCTGGTTTTTGCCCAATCCTATATAATTAAGAATTTTATGCTAACCAGCATTAGGCTCAGTGAACAGGTTGATTTGAGAGAATATTTAAATGAAAATATTTAATTCAAACTTCAATTAAAATACATTTTACAAACAAAACAGCAGACATTCAGCAATGTAGTGTTTTATTGTAACATTGACATTTCATAAGAAAAAAACAGCAAGAACAAAGAGCTATCAAATAAGTTCCATCCACTTCACCAACCTAATCGTTTAAATTAGGGTTAAATATGCATGAGAAATGCATAGCCTCCATTTTAATACAGTTCATGTTCAGGTGTTCATTCATTTGCGAATATAAATGACCTGGAGTTTTTAAAAAATGCTTTGAGCTTTCGGAACAGACTTCAGCTGAAATCAGGAGTACAGAACAATTCTGAATGTTAATAAAGACAAAGTCACAAAAAGAACACTCCTGTGCGGCAACATGATGGCTTAAACACACTACCTGAAAATTCCTTAACTGAAAGTAAGACCTATTGCTAGGTCATAGTATGAAGTGGATTCACACTGCTTATCACTTGTAACGGGAAACGTGATTCAACCCATTGCGTACTACTTGCCAGCTGCCAGGCACTAATACACTCTTAATATCAAACAGTCTTTGATTTAGAAATACATCAAAGTGGGGGAAATATTTCCATGTCTTTTTATATACAATCATTAACAAATATATACAAAAAACTGCATATGTACAGAAAAGTAATTAGTTGAGCCACTGGCCTGAGATTTAATAAACAATACTATCAGGAACAAAGGACAATAACACATCACAGATACCTTATTAATCAGGAGACTTTTGCTGTCAAATAAATGTTATGATATTTATTCAGAGTTGTAACCCTAAAAATTTAAAACTATATTCCATAATTTTAATTCATAAACGCTATATATTTTTGCTGCATTGCTCCGTCAATGTCTGAATAAATCAGAGGCAATGACATTTCTTAGTAATAATCTTATCCTTCTCACTGATGCAAAACATTGGTACCACGTATAGCCACATTGTGAAATAAGTAGGAGCTCTTCCACTTCACTCTGTATAAAGTGTGAATGCATAAAATCATGGTGGACAAGATGCAAACCTGTTTCTATGTCTGCCTAATGCACATGGACATCTTCTGCTATTGTATAACTATGGCATCTCCAAATACACACAATTTTCACAGATAACTCAAATTTAATTTGTTGAAACATTTAACAGTGGCAGGAACACTGGAATGCATAAAATAATCAATACTAATATTTTTTGATTTGTAATATTCAACAAAAATAATCAAATGGTTCATTAAAGCATTTGAAATTTGGAGTTTCTCCACAAAGCTTTTTTTTAAAATCAAATTTCTCACCACCTCTTGTATGTGCTTCTTAGTGTGGGAAACAGTTCCACTGTAGCTTTCTGGTAGTTCAGTGTGGAAGCTCCACATTCGTAAATCAGAACACTGCAAGTTATTTGACCATTCAAGGCAAAACACTGATGTAGAGACTACCTTCACCAAGTATCCATACCATCCAGAAGCCAATTAGTACCAATCAGGAATATGGATATTGTCCAATGTTCACCTCCCTAGTCCAGGAGCACATCATCAATTGTTGTGCCCTTGTGCCAGAGATCTGGGTTTGAAGTTTTCTGAAGAAGGGCTCCGACCCAAAACATCAACTTTCCTGCTCCTCTGATGCTGCCTGGCCTGCTGTGCTCCTCCAGCTCCACACTGTGTTATCTCTGACTCCAACATCAGCTGTTCTTACTATCTCTTGAAGTTAAGACCACCTGGTTCATAATGTTTAACAGTGTTTTGCTTTTGCCATTTGAGCCATTGAGAATCACACTACACATTTTAGACTTGATGTTACACAGTTTTTCAGAAGAAAAGTTCATGTAGAAATGCAGAGCAATATACACTGACAAAATATAATTTTACTGCAAAAAGGCATTCAGCCCAAATTTGCAAAATGAGCTCAGATACCACAGTTTAATTATGTCTCTTGAGAATTATACAATAAAAACTGATGGATCATATTACTGAAATTTCATGTGATATAATGGACAAACTGGGTCAGGAATATAAATAGTCAGGGGATCTTTAGGTTAATGAAATTAAGTACAATTTACCTGGGAAGGAGACCAAAGTAAACAGTATAAATGAGATTAAGATATTGTCTTTCTAAAGAGATTGAGGGTTGTGATGGGAAAGTGGGGATGATTTAATCAGCTGGCTTGTTCAAACTAATTAATGGACATCATACAGTCTTAGTACCTTGTATATTAAAATTTATACAGATAGAGTAACAACATTTGAGTTTGGCCATTAAATTATAGGGGATGCTTCAGACAAATAATTCTACATTGTATTTCTTTTTGTATTCTACAGCAATAGAATCATTTTTCTGGAAGATATTTCACCCTGAGATTAAGAGACAGCTTCAGGACCTCCTGCAAAAAATGTCTCCAATGAAGGCTGCTACTATAAAATCATATTCACTGCTGACTGTTAAGACCATTTTCTGAAACTGTTAATATTGTTGCCATTACACACAATAAAACTCAGAGGTTAGTATTCTGAGGAAGGGGGTAGGGCAATGATAAGCTAACTGTTAGAACGGATGAATGGAAGGTTTTTAATCCAGTTTTAAATTGACCATTATGCTAAATTTATAAATCGATGGCTTTGCATCCTTGATTCTGCTTTCTGTTCATTCCTGAAAGGAGTTTTTGAAAAATGGGATTTGATTGTCGATGAAATATCCTGAATCACTCGACATTCAGAACAATTCCTGAAAAATTTCTAAAACGATTTCTCCCAACTATCCATTATCAATATGGTCACTGCTTAAGATCAATAAAAATAAATGGAGCTTTACTTAATTACTATTTAAAAGTTATTTTGTTGTTCATTAGTTATATCCAGCCAACTTTCTAAACTAGGAATTTTCAAACACCTGATAAAGATTAAAAAGGATGCAAAACAACTGACAGTGAATAAAGTAGTTTTGTCACTGGGTTTATTTATTGTATTGGTGGAATTGTGGTACACGAAATATTCTACTTAAACAAAATATATTTCAATGCTCTTAGTCCAATTCCTCAAACTGCTCCTCCAGACCTGTCTACCACTAAAGCTTCACCCTAGTTCAGTAGTACACAGATCTATATACTCCTGAAGATACAAACAAGTTTGGGAGGACAGAATCTGATGGCATTACTGGCTACTCTTCAGCCCTAAAACATAGTCAATGATAAAAGAATCACTAAAAGCCTAGTGACATTGTTATGTGCTGATAATTCAGTAGATAAACAATGAAGCTAAGTAAGCCAGAATGACAAGCAATTTTTCTTAGCCTTATTGATGAGGAAACATTTGGAAGCGTTTAATCTGTATCTCTAATTATTTTCTCCAAACCAACTGAGCAAAGAACGATGGAGAAGTGGATTTGTTGTGAGGTCAATCTAAGGCCTGTGGGCTCAAACAAATCCGTACTTATGATAATAAGTAAAAAAGGCTAAAGTTTTATGAATAACCTCCGTTATGGCTAACTTGAATCAGCTTGGTTATAGCTACTGAACCATACAATATTATCTATTGTGCTATATTAATGTCAACATCTCCTGGTATGCTGATACTGTGAAAACACTAGCAACACCAAGGTAAAATTTGGGCAATTTGAAGTGGGCAATGGCATGTATGCAAACATGTATGAAGTTAGTGGCAAGCACAAACTGCAAACTGAATATAAGACAGATAAAACAGTATTTGAGAAGATCTATAGCTCAGGTTGTGGATGAGGTTGTAGACTAGCTCACCGAGCCAGTGGGTTTGATTGTAGAAATTCGACACCCTGCTAGGTAACATTGTCAGTGCGCCTCCGGTGAAGTACTGGTGTTGTGTCCCACTTGTTATTTATATGCCTTGGTTTGCTGGGGCTGTTGGCATCACATCAGTTCTGTTTTTCAGTTATATGCCTCAGTTTGCTGGGGTGGTTGGCATCACTTTCAGAAAAACAGAGCCGGAAGTGATGCCAACCACCCCAGCAAACCAAGGCATATAAATAACAAGCGGGACAGAACACCAGTACTTCACCAGAGGCGCGCTGACGATGTTACCTAGCAGGGTGACAAAATGTCTACAATCAAACACACTGGCTCAGCGAGCAAGTCTACAACCACAGATAAAGCAGATTTGGAAGAAGTAGAAAGACCTTCACTTATCTACATAAACATTACCAGAGTGCAATCAAGATGGAGTTCTGCTTGATTATTCAGCAATTTTGGAAAATACAAGACTCTGCTTTCATCAAAACATTCCATCCAAGAATTATACGTCAAACAAAAATACAGATACCTGCAATTCTAAATTGCATCTTAAAAAAAATTAACTGAACACTACCCACGTAATATTTCTTAACTTAAGTTATCTATTTACTCAACCTATGTGCTTGTAGTAACATATCTTTGAAAGATAAAAACACTTAAATATTTTCTTCATGCATTATTCAACAGAAACCATAGTCATCATTTGAATTTCAGCAAAATAAAACAATGATTTGCACATTGACTTTAATGTTAAATATAAACATCTAAGGAGATAAATCCATTGTCTATGCTTTAAAACTGTGCAAAGGGCATGTATTAAAACCAAACCAAAAAAATAGAAAAAAAATGGACTACTGAGAAAATGAAATTTTTAATGTTTTGTCTTTCACCTATTCTCTCTCAAGAACAGTACTGTCATTCACAAAAACCACACCCTTTGTTACTAATAACCTCTTGTCGACAATCTACATGTTTACAGTCACTCGTCAATTAGCTGAATGGGTGGGTTTGCAATGCAGGTGATGCCAACAGCATGGGTTCAATTCCTGCACTGGCTGAGGTTACCATGAAGGATTCTTCTTCTCTACCTTTCCCCTTACCTGCGGTGTGGTGACCCCCAGGTTAAACTACCACTAGCCATCTCTCTCTAATGACTTTACCTTTTGGAGGTAGAATATTTGTATGATGTGCTGAAAACGATTAGTCTCCTGTGCAATCAAGTACTTTGAAAAGATCCACTAAACAGAAGTCACAGCAGCTCCTTAACATTTAAAACAATGAAAAACTAGATGCTATTTCAGGAAGGGTGTCTCAATTAGAACCAGTGAAAGATTTCAAATGAAAATTTTCAAATACATTGTCTTCTCAATAACTGATGATTAACAAGGCTTTTCAGACCTTTTAAAATTTTGACCATTTGTACTTTTGTTTTTAAAATGAAAATTCCAAAAGAACAGACGGAAAGATTTGCATTTGTCTAGCACTGTATCACAGCTCAAAACTCCCAAAGTGCAGCACGTAGAATTATCTTAATATGTAGTGACAGTTGTGGGTAAATGTGAAGCTATTTAGAGCACAGCAAGCTCCCACAAACAACATTAAATGAAGTTAGTTTATTGTAAAGTGGGAAAATTCATGTTCAAAATATACTTTTCACAGCAAAAAAACCATTCTCTCACATTTCAAGCCAGGACATTAAATTCTTTTAAAATATTCATTAACAACTTGTTTCACATTAGCTATTTTCTGTTCCTGATTATTAAGTAGGTGGTGACATTCAATGACATAAAAAAGTGCATTTTAAAACTATAGTGAACGAACCATGAATATTTTTTTAAAAATGCTAAAGTGTACGGTCTACTGTGCAACAATTATTGTTACTTTTCCCTAGCAATATGAGCAGGAAAACCTGCATGGATACAAAAACATGAGAAAATGGTAATAATACCAATACTTTAACGTCTGCAATAAATTGCCAGCCAAGATGGGAAAATTTAATTAACACAATTTATTGGGAAGTGTATTTTCACCTCTATCGCTAATTAACTGTAAAAATTATTCAAGCTCTGTTTTATAGGGATTTTACAGCTGTCAATATTTTAGTACTGAACCATAGGACACTACCATCAATCCTAATGATTGATGAATGTGATAGCTACCTGCATCAATGGAGATGAATTATTCTAAGACAAAACTCATCTGAATTTTCACTCCAGTTACCAGTAGATTAAGTAAAGATGGAAATGCTGAGAATCTGAAATAACAAATAATGTAGGAACTGAGCAGCACCTCCACCAATTCTCAAAAAGCAGCTTAATCTCGTAAGCACATCCCTCCTTGCATTTTTAGCATCAAATGCCAAAATGTTAATACTGTGTCATACTTGAATCAACTGTGCTTGAAAAAAAAGGAGAAAGTAACAATTGACTGTAATTTCATCATTCCATTTGGAAACTTAATATTAGTGAAGTTTATTGATATTAGGAAAGTTGATAGCAAATATTGTGGAAGCTTAGCTATACAATGTATAGAATTTTTAAAGGGAAGGCCCTTCAATTGGAGTACTTGAACTCACTACTGCTTTCCAAACACTAGACAACAAAATTCTGAACAAGGTCTTTCGTACTAAGTGTGATTTCTTACCCTATTATTTCAATTCTCCTCCCTTTGACATCACGCTCCCAAAGCACCAAATGGGATACATGATTACATCAGAATAACTCGGCCTAAACATCGTGCGCTTTAGTGGCCATTAATCATGTGAATTCAAATTTGGGTGACAGAAAACAGCAAAATGCAAGGGACAAGATAGCCAAGGCAAATTACGTCCAGAGACATTTTCCAGCATGAAGCACTGTACAGTATTTGAGAAAGAGAATCCTAACTGATCATTTACTTCTGTAATTAAAATGCACCAAGGACACTGTAGCTGCCTAACAGCTACCTTACGGTTAGCCGGAGTACAAATGTGATGTGAAAAGAATTCAACTATATATGTGAGTCAAGAATGAAGAGAACAACCTTAACAGTGATAATGTTAAACTGTGTTTCTTTTTAAAAAAAAAGGACACTCTCCTATCTAGCTATCATGCCATTTAAAAAGGTTGAAAATGTTTAAAATAAGCAATCCTTCATAATTTGTTTAATTTCACTTTTTCAAATGAACAGAATGCTCCTTTCACTGAATTGCTTGCGGTCAAAACTCTTCCACAGCTTAAGAGCCACACTGCTCTTTCCATCAATGCAGGTGGGGTGCAAAAACAATTTTGAAAATAAATATATGGTGCAAGAGCCAACTGGTAATGAAACAAAGTCACAAGTTGCAATTTAAATAGATTGTGACAGCCAGACACTGCATGATTTGTAGAAGCAATGTGGTCAGTGAGTGTGGACAAAATTAAAACAATTTTCATTGTGTAAAGCATTAAGTAGAAGATATTGCATGATTGAGAGATATCTCTACTACTTTGTCAGCACAATGGCCTTCAGTAAAATAAGATCACCAATTAAACTTCTTTGCAGAGGGACACTTACATAATTTACGCTGTTTTTGAATGTGTACGTGTGTTAGGGGTGGGGGGCTGCAAGTTCGAATAGATAAACAGTTCCATCTCTTAATTACAACCCAAAATAGACCAACAGTAGATTGGCATTGATCTAGGGAGGGAAGCAGTGTTAGGAGATAATTTTAATCTGGAGTAAGTTTATGTCTGAAGAAGCCAGGGTCAGTTAGAAAACAGAGATAGTTCTGCAAATCCGTTATATATATAACAGCTTTTTTCAAATAAGTTACCTTTTCAATAGGTACATGGGCTGAGGAAACACACATGAAAACTAATTTAGTCTCCTAATCATTCCAAAATAAGACGGAAGGACACAATTCAAATAAATGCAAAGCTTTAAATGTAAATCTGCCTTCCTATCACTGGGTTTAGATTGGCTGTTCTGGAGATCCAATTTCCAATGTCTTAACAGTTTGTACACTGTGTTAGCAAATTTTAAGCATTGGATTACTGTTTATTCTGAGTTCACAATTCAAGGCTTATATCAGATCATGGGGACCGACTCCTTCCAACTCATTCTCCTTTTGCTTTTACCGAAATTAACCAATCAACAGGTCTGATTACCTTAACATCTAAAAAGGTAACAACATATTTAAATTAAACATCAAATACTAGTGAACAGAGTAAACTGCATCAGTACATGTCCTTAAATATCTGGGGAAATAAATCTTTTTTTAATTCCCAGTCTCTGAATGATGTGTCAGGACATCAATACACTCAAGCCTTCAAAATCAAGCCTCTCCAAATTCAACGCACTGCCAGTCAGAATTCACAACTGGAGAAAGCAATGACCCAATACTAGAAATCCCCACATAAATCTGACAGAGGTTAGCACCAGAAAAGTTTATAAGAGAAATTTTTCAGCAATGTAAACCATATCTGAATTTTAAATCAATTTATGGTACTAGTACTCAAACAGTGGCAACTGTAGTCAGAAGGGATACACAGTGGAAGAAATATTTTCAATTAAACTTGCAACACCTATGCAAGTAACTAATCTTTTGCTTTAAGTTTAGTTTTGAAAATATTTAAGGAATGTGTCTGAGAACTACTATTCAATCATAATATGGTTCAGCTGGAGTCTTACAAATGGTAAAACAACTATTCGCTAAAACTTGGTCACGTCTGAAGTCTTATACTTCATGCAGTTAGTATTTCAATAAATATCATTGCTAGTCCTTCAACGTGATCTGCACTCAATTGACAGCACAGAAAATGTTGGTAGTTGGTATCGGCAATCAGCACAAAAAAAAGGATGGAAATAATGTCAACAGAATTGGCAGTATACATTTTTTAAAAAGTGATTTTTTAGTTAGTTATTTAACAGAACCGGTTCAAGCATCTGTTAAAAACTAAAACAGGCTTTGCTGTTTTGGTTTAGAAGCAACTTGTATCTATATGATGTTTTTCATGACCTTAGGAAGTCCCAAAGCATTTTACAGTCAATGTGGCACTCTGAAGCATAGTCACTGTTCTAGTGTCAGAATATCAAGAGTTCTTGGATTTTTATTTCATTTGAGCTCATGCCTCTTATCTCCATACAAACATATGTCCAACCTGAGTGACTATCGAATAATGATATTTCTCAGTTTTTGATTTCTAAGTAAAGGAAAACAATAATTAACATTGGGCACAGCAGACACTTTACACCTGATACATACTGGTGATCAGGAACCAATTAGGTTGATTACAAAAATTTTACAAGTTTAAAACTTGTAAAATTGTGCACTTAAAATGTCAGGACCATCTACAGAGCTTAAACCTACTTTTAGGCTCTTCTTTAGAATTTGTAAATTGTAAGAACAGAAACTTCACACAGCACAAACTAGTGAGTAAAAGATCTATTCACAAATTGGACTAAGTTGCCTGTGTATGAAGTGCCTAATTACCTGGTCTAATGGGGCTGCAGTTTTGACATCCTAAATTAAAACAGCTGAGTTATGAGAATGGACTGGAGGGGGACAACAGTAGGTTCTTTCTAATGAATAATTTGGGAAGAACAACTCACTTTACTCATTTCCATTCATTTGTAATCTGGATTAGGAATAGAATATCCTTGACACAATTGCTTTAACGGAAATGGAACATTCGAGTTTGTCAAACCTCTTATGATAGTTCATTTCATAGTTACCCAAGTGTAATGTTCATAGTTGTAAGATAATTTATCATACATATTTTGGATATTTTCATACACTACACAGGTTCAATTTGGGTTGCAACAATTTAAAAGATTTAGATATACAAAATTCAAAACATTAAGTTTTTATACACATCTGCAATTCTGTATTGCAGCTGACATGTCTAGAATAGTATGGTCTGTTCAGAAAACACATGCACTTCAGAAACACGATGTGTCACAGAAGCAAAGGAAGTGCTTTTCAAATGCTGGGGCTGAGATACATTGTTGGGATAATATGAAGGAAACATTTTATATGCATTTGACCCATGCTGTACTTAGACTTAGTACAGTACCTCGTCCTTAATTGGCAACATACAGAAAGCTTGACATTGCATACAGTTTGTGTTGGACCTGACTTGTGACATACTTGATTTTAAACCTGGGATTCAGATTTAGGAAAATGCTTTATCCCATTAAATATTTCTCAACCCGATTGAGACACACAATAAAAACTAAAGTCGCAAAAAGACTTGCAGCTTTGGAAGGCTTTTCATATATATGTATGCAATCAAGGTTTCTGATTGATTGCCTGTCACAAAACTGCTCTGCTTTCTACACTTTTCTTCCCATAAAAAATAAATAAAATGTCTGACAACTGCATATTCAATTCTGGAAAATGCACTTCCGCCATCTGAGGCATGTTCATTTTTGAATTGTGCTTCCTGGTTTATAGCTTTCAGTGCTTCAGTATAACTCAGCTTTCTACTTATATTCACAAACAAATTAATGTTGACTAATACTAAAGCAAAATTAAGCTCAGCACAAAATGAAGAGCTTGATCGCTCGCACATGATTTACACAACTGGAATCACATTGTCTAAAGCTGCACGAACTTTGGATAAACAGAAAAAAAAATGCACATTCACAGAGGTTGATCATGGCACTCTGCAATCTGTTTGAGAAGACAGAATCTAACTGAACAGGTTTCGGCTGGACGCAGATTATTTAGCAGTGATTTGTCACTGACAAGTATTGACCACATAAAATCACATGATATAGTTGCTGCATGAGCAGAGTTGTGCAGAAATTTTGTTAACACTAACAAACAAGTTCACCTGCTGCCCCACCACTCCCATTCCCAACAAAGTGTCTTGGTTCCAACTCCCCAACATGAATTCTGTTCCAGATGTTTTCTTTGCCCAAGTTTCACATACTACATAGTGGAACACATAGGGCCCAGCCTGAGTGATAATATGATATCACTCTGATTCAATGGAGTGAGGCAGCTTCAGACCAAAATACATTGTTCTTCTGGAAGAACTTTCCTCTTCATTCTTCAAAAATGATCGGGTAAGTTTTACTGATGAGAAACAAAACACAGTGTTACAAAATGATCAACTTTAGTAAAAATACCAATATCAGTAAGAACAATCGTATTCTGAGGTGCTGGTTCTTGATTCTGTAAGTACTTGCAGACCTCAATTTCTATTCGACACATCAGTGTAATTGGCAAGTGCCAGCAGACTAGACAATTATGGACGACAATTATGTAACTGAAATGATTCTGTCTAGATAACCACAGGTGTTTTAAAGGCAATCACAAACTGAATGATTTTTTTTTTCCTTTCTCAGCTAAAGGGCACCATTGTCAAATGCAGCACCTCCACCTCTATCTAAGTTGGAGTCAGCTAATGCAGCATTGATAAAGGACTGAATGTAGGACTACCTTCATGCAATTATTTAAGCCAAACAAACAAACAAACAAACGTCAATTTTGGTGTAACTACTTAAGAAAATGAAATCAATGCAACCATTTACTGAAGTGCTGATGCCTACCACCTGAGAGGTGCAGCAGGTATGTGTGAGGTCTATAACCCAGAGATGTGACTGATTGAAGCCATCCACTGACATGTAAAGTTGTATGGCAGACCACCTGGGAATACCAGGTACAGTAGAAACCTGAACTCTTGTGGCACAGTGGTCATTTCCCTACCTCTGGTCCAGGAAGTCTGGGTTCAAGTTCCAGTTGGCTCCAGAGGTGTGCAATAACATCTCTGAACAGGTTCATCAGAAAATATCTTTTAAGGCACTTGTTGTTCAGTTGTAATGTCACCAGCCATGAAAGGATGCCCAGGTTCAAGTCCCATCTGCTCTAATGTGTGTCAACATACAAAATAGGAGTAGGCGGCATCTGGCCCAGAGCCTGCTCTGCCATTCAATAAGATCATAGCTGATCTTTTCACGGACTCAGGTCCACTTATCCGCCTGCTCACCAGAACCCTTAATTCCTTTACTGTTCAAAAATCTATCCCTGCCTTAAAAACATTCAATGAGGTAGTCTCAACAGCTTCACTAGGCAGATTCACAACCCTTTGGGTGGAGAAGTTCCTTCTCAGCTCAGTCCTAAATCTGCTCCTCTTTATTTTGAGGCTATGCCCCCTAGTTCTGGTTTCACTTGCCAGTGGAAATAGCCTCCATGTTTCTAACTTATCTACTCCCTTCATAATTTTATATGTTTCTATAAGATCCACCCTCATTCTTTTAAAGGCCAATGAGTACAGTCCCAGTCTACTCAATCTCTCCTCATAAGCCAACCCTCTCAGTTCTGGAACAAACCTAGTGAACCTCCTCTGCACTCCCTCCAGTGCCAGTGCATCATTTCTCAAGTAAGAAGACCAAAACTGTACACACTGCTCAAAGTGTGGCCTCACCAGCACCCTATCTGGCTGCAGCATTACCTCCTTATTTTTGAACTCTTATCCCCACTAGCAGTCAAAGACAATATTCCATTTGTTTCCTTAACTACCTGCTGCGCCTGCAAACCAACTTTTTGCAATTCATGCACAAGGACACCCAGGTCCCTCTGCACAGCAGCATGCTGCAATTTTTCACCATTTAAATAATAGATCATTTTGTTGTTATTCCTACCAAAATGGATGTCAAAATAGGTTGATTAGAAATATCAATATCTATTGTGACAACAACACTTTAAAATTTAAATCTTTGGCACCTAGTATGAAAACAGCTCTAAAAACAGTTGTATCACTGTCCAAAAGACAGCCAATGTCTCATGTCACATCATCCACAACACTGGCTCAGGGCAAAAATGCTATGATGTTCAGCTTACTCCACAAATCCCCACAAGAAACCAGGACTATTCTTGGTGGATTACTTGTACACCATAACATAAAAACTAGTACTGTTTGTGGGTTTAAAAATGAAAAATAATCTCTTGGTAATGCAGAATTTGAATATTGCTGCAAATAAAAAATTCTTTTGAAATTTTCCATCTCGCACTCATCAAAGCAGGTGCAAAAGATACTAAATTTCAAAGGGAATTACAATTTATTCTGCAAAAAGCATACTGATTGGCCAATTTGCCAAGTAATCAGCACCCTTATTTTTTGTATGCAGTATAAACTGTTGCTTCCTTTGAAGTACGGTAGTCTTACATTTGTCCTGATGATTGCTAGATAAAAAAGTTTGACAGCAGATCTGTTTATCAAAACAAAATGTAACAACACATTTTTATTTATTTATTTTGAAAGTACTTGGATTATTTACAGCTATAGCCATTTTATAAAGAGAATGAGCAAAATAAAAGCTTCATTTACAAAAAAATGTTATTAACATGAGGAATTCCAGTGTTGGAAAACACAATCCCCTTCAGTTGCACATTGCAACATAAAACATATCCAAGGAGGTGCAAAACAACTAGGTGCAAAATAATTCTAAACTCTGTCCCATTGAATACAAGGTCAGGAACAGCATAGGTTAGGTGGAGAGTAGAAGTTCCTCTATGCTTTTTCAATAATGCACCTCAGCTTTCATATCAAAAAAAAGTCCCTCTCCTGCAACTCCCTGTGCCACTTCTAATGAACATTTGTTAGCAATGAAAACTTGGTCAATGTGGGAGTTTACATTAACTAGGATCAAAACTATCTAAAATCCATGCATATAACCTCTATGCAAGAACAGACAAAGCAAAAGTTCATTCGCGTCAGCTTGACTAGATCATATCCCAGAGGTATTTTATTCATTGTAGTGTGCACACTCTCCCAAATCTCAGCAATAATGATCTGGTTTTGAAAGCTGATCATTTGGTTAGAGATCATCCAATTCTGTTGTATTCGTGACCAGAGAATGGTAACTTCACCAACATATACATGAAAATTTTTCAAATACAGCTAGTCAATAGGCAGTGGAAGGCATCTCAAAAAAAATTCTCTGCAAACATGTTGATGTCAATATGTCTTTCTATAGCTTAAATTTGGTTTACATATTTTTCATGTTCCACAAAGGAAATGGACAAAAATTAGTCATGATATAAGTTTACAGAGAGGAAGAGTTGATCTAACGGTAGAAAGCCCACAGCCATACACATTTTTAACTATAAAACAATAAAATTTCACAAACAACCAACTTTAAAATAATTCAAACTGCCAAAACATTAATTTGCATATTTGGCAGAAGTTGAAAACGCTTGTTTGTTAAAAATTTGTAAAAGGACAATTTGTAGATGTTTCATTTTATAGATTTTTGTTAATTTACCCAACGAGAATAAGGGTTCCAGTGAAACCCAAGAACCTGTGACCATATTGTTTCAGAGAATACTAAAATAAGTTTGTAACAATATCCCCAAGGTACATTCCATATTTCTGATCAGGCTACCAAATATTTGCTTTACTAATTACTACAAAGCATGCAGTAGGTAATTCAAAGCTGCATGATCTCAAATTTTCTACCACAAACATTTGTGTGGTCATAACAAGGGTAAAAGATCCAGTCATAAATGCACATCTTACATAGTTAGCACTAGTGAGAATTGGAAATCACAGGGTGAACTACCTATACATTTTGGCTAGAAAATGAGGGTTTGTGATCCAAGGCAGGGAGAAAGTGACGTTAAAAAGTTAGAACATATTGTATTCAGTTAAGAATGTGGCGTTTGTTTTCTGGAAAAAGATGAGATTTCAGGGTGTCTGAAATGCATTTTGAAAACGTATGACAAGATTGATCTAGATAAATTGCTCACGATTGTTAAGGGTTTAAACACCAGATCAAGATAGACATTAGGAAAATAAAAATGAATTTTTACCCAGAAGTAGTTCAATTGATGTAGATGGCGTAAATGGATTAGGCGAACAATTAAATGCAGCTCTGGTGAGAAGACGAGCAATAAAGGCACGCCATAAGAAAAGCTATGGAGATTGATTCATGAAAAAGGATGTTTTTCAGGGGGAGGACAGGGGAAGGAGAGAACACCTTATGGTTCCTAAAAATTTTTAATTTCTTGGTTGAAGTCTTTGCTGCTGATTACTACTGTCCAATCTGTTTTCCAGAGGATGCTGACAATGTATACAAGAAGGGGATAACACAGCTACTGCAGATACCTAAGCCTCATGGGATAAAAGATTTTCAGAATAAACCTAGTCAATGACAATGTCCCAATTAAATACTAGAATCACCGGTCTGATCTTACAACAGAAAATAACATGGTGGTGTACTACTAAATAAAATATGGTGGCATCTTTTTGATTGGGAAATTCCAAAAACTACAATAGTTTCAGAAGATTAATATTTTCAATTAGATACTTGAGTAGGAAGCATTTTTGATGTAAGTGGTAAAAAAAATGAGATCACCAAGTCTTTGTATAATTTACATTATAAATCTAATAATAATGGCATAGTAAAATACCATTATTAAAATACCTTTCAATTTCATCATACCCAAAGCCATGCACCTGCATTAGTGCTGAGTTGAATGTTCATTGTATACCAAATGTACCATTTATATACTTTATCTAGATAAAAATGGACATTTGACGAACACTGATGGAGGTACAAGAGTTATTTCAAAGCAAAGCATGTATCACACGAGTGTTGTTCACTCAATAAGTATTAGTTTATATATCAGGAAAGGTAAAAGAATAATCTAATGAATAAATAGATTAGATAAATTATTTGCAGTTTAAATTCGACTCAGTACTAATTCTACATATCACCACATTTGCTTAGGTACCTAATCTTAATGCACGTTGTTTTGAAGCAAACAGCACATTACACTTACAGTTTCACTTTCTCCGTCTGAAACTGAACGTACGTGAGAGCCATAGTGAAGAGGAGAGTAAATCCAGACCCTCTCTTCTGCACACTGAATAGGCGGAATCAAGAAGACACAAGAAGAACAGAAATAATGGAAAGCAAAAAAAGGAAGAAAGGCGAAAGGCAGTAACTGGTGAAAAACAGGCCATATGTTACATATATATCTAGAGTATGAATACAAGAAGAATAAAATAGAACATGTCAGCAGCACTGCTGATAGCAATGAAACCGTTTCATGGTGTAGTGGTTGGCATATTATCCCCACAAAATACTGAATTCCAGCAAGCATAGAATTGTCTTAAGAAAAAGAAAACAATTTGTATTCTGTCTTGTTTTGACAGTTGTAATAAAATGGTACAAAACCATGAATACTAAGTGTAGCTTATGTCCAAGTTGAAACTAATATGCTATTTTTTCCAATCAAGGCACCAAAAATGGAAGCAGTTAAAAATGAGTCTACTAATATTACCTCAATGGAAATCAACATCAACAACTAGAAATTATTCCTTGAAAAGGAAATTACTTGCATGAGGGAACTGCTTGTTAACAGATACAATTGAAACTCTCAAAAGACAGTTAAATCTTCACTATACAGAACTTCTTTCTCATTTGCAAACTATATAATTCCTTTATAAATTGTTGCCTAGAAAAGACAAATAAATTTATCAAATTTCTCATTTGCAAGAAGACTCAAACTATAGGCTTTGTTTGGTTAGCTGATCTCAGCAATGCTACTAGGAGAACTACACTAATGTAGTCATGCCTAGATTTGATTTAGATAGGGAATAAAATAATTCAGATTTGCGTCACCATCTGGTGACCCCTGATGGATGCAATCAGTGAGGTGAGTGCGTGAAGGAGTGGAGAGGAGTTGAAAATGTGTGTGCACGTGACACACACTCCATGAGAACAGAATTGAAAACTATGGTCAAAGAGCCTGCCGAATCACTGTGGTCCAACAGGGCTGATGATGCTTTGTGTCACAACCATACATAAATGTGAAATCGAATTTTCTCTGCAGCATGATACCCCGAAGATGTTGATATCTCCTTTCTAGGGTAGAAGCAGCAAACACGTGAGGGGGAAAAAAAAACTTTTGTACATTTCATTTTATGCTTTATCATCATTTATGGCAATTTCTTAATCAAGCTATATGAATATAGCCAATTAACCATTTTGCCAACATATTGGATATTTTGTCAATCACTTATGTATTTTAGCCAGTAAGATTACAAAATTACCTCATCACTTCAAACTCTGAAATATTTGCTACCTGCTGTCAAAATAAACCTCTTCTATTTCTAACCCAGATAAGGATTGATAAAGAGGACAGTGTAACAGTAACAACCGTGGTCCCATGTGTTGCCAGAAATAATGCTGCCAGCTGAAATACTGGATTGAGAACTATGATATCTTTCAGCTAAGGACAGATCAGAAATCCTATTTCAACAACATCTTGCTTTTACATCACCAAACTCTACGGGCTATAAATTTTTAATGTTAAATAAATGCAGGAAGGCAAAAGAATGGAGGCTGGAATTTAATGGGGCCCTTAGCCCGGGAGAGGGTAACAGGGAGGAAAATAAACGGGAAAAAAAATACAATACTGGAATGCCCATTACCTCCTTGACACTGTGGAATTCTATTAGTGGCAAGGACAGTCTCTTCATCCGTAGCCAATTTAAGTCGCAAAGGGCTCTCGGTCACTACTGGCTTTTTCAGGGGCAGATGGACACTTGTAAATGTAGAAAGGTTACCCATTAAGCCCTGGCAGCTTCTCTTTCAGTCAGAGATTAATGGGTGGGGGCAGGGATGCCCAATCAGGAAATGATTGCCCAACAGCAAATCCCCCTTACCAATCGTATCCCAGCCCCTTCAATGCCCACCAGCTACTGGGGCCTACTGTTGATCTGACAAAACGTAGCTGTGAATGGGGGAAAAAAAAACTCTATTGTATTAATATATAGTTTTGGCAATAATCTTGTTTCTCTTTTAATCTCAAGATCATATGTGGCAGAACTTTGCTAAGCTAACTTTATTGACAGACTAACTTTAGTATTGAAATAGCAACTATTTTCTGGAATGGAAATTTCTCTGCATTGATTTTGTTCTGGTCTGTTTTCATCACAAACTTGTATGGACTGAAAACAAGTTTCAAACTTTTCACAGACAAATGGATATATAACAATGTTAAAACTAAAATTGGGAACACTTAGTTGAACACAAAATAGAGATGATGGAAGATCAATTCAGCAACATTGAGGAGGATCTTTAAATTATAAGAACCAACTTACACTCTCATCAGAAATTGAAGTAGCTCGGGAAAAACTGCGTTGTGGAGAGTAAATCCAGTACTTTCCATCCATAAACTGGATGGTGTGATAAAAGCATGACAAAAATCAGGAAAGGCGAAAGTGATGGTGGAAAGAAAAATATTAAAACAATGTAAGTGAGAAAGACAAAGACAAAACAGAAAATGCAAAGTGATAATGTTAACAAAAAATAAAGCAAGATCATAGTAAAAATATCCTAGATACCTAATCATAACATTAATCCTTACCTAACTCTAATTCTTTAAGCTAATTGCAGGCACAGTCATCCAGACACTATGGTATCTAGCAAAGAATAATCCACTTCATTCGAGTAGCACACCTTTCTACACTTTCTCAACAAAAAAAAAAAGTGACTGCCGATTTGGCCAAATTGTCCCAGGAAGGGCCTGCTCACTCCTTAGGAAAACTAGGCTAAAAGAAGATTAGAGGAGGAATCAAGATCTTTAGAAGGTTATGGATATTGGAGAAATCAGATCATCTGTTGACAAACAGTAAACAGTGAAGACGAAAGGAGGAAATAATTAATATATTTTCAATTATGATCCCTACAAAGAAGCCACAATGAAGTAGTCACCCAACAATCAGCTTTGTGACATTAAAATAATTAATGGTTTTGTACAAATAACTAACCTCACTCAAGTGACCCCAAGTTCACAGAACTAGTACAATGAAGCAATTATTGAGGAAAAGTCCTAATGGCTGATCAACTTTTCTAGGTCCCATTAATGAGCTAAATTGTTATTCTCAATCAAAGACCTATACCAACCTAGTTTAGGCATTAGATTATTAAGTTTATTAAAGTGAGTTTTCTCTATTTCAAATGTCCACCAAGCAGATCACCTTGGAACCATTTCAAAACCAAAGAGACTTGGGTTTACACTTAACCCTCCAAATAGAACAGTCAAATGTTGGTCATCTAGTATCAGACATACACAGGTTTAAGCACTCACATGGAAGATAATAAATACGAAAATCTCAGGGCCGTTGTGGCCCAGTGGTAGCATCCCTATCTCTGATGAGGAGGCCTGGATTTTAGTCCCACCTGCTCCAGAGTTGCCTAACAACGTCTCTGAACAGATTGATTAGAACATGTTTAGATACCAGATACTTCTCATCAACAGCTCAACTATCCATTAACTATCCAGCACTGTGCTGCTAGATTAGGAGCTCTGATATGAATAAAGAATATGAAAGATGTAAACCCTATACAAAAGCAAAGCAAATTTCACTGCAGACCTGCTCCATAACTGCAGATACCAAAAACATGCAGTTTTGTCAAGTTTAAAACATAGAATTTTTCAGATCAGTTTAAATTTTCTTTAACCTACCCAACCCAAAAGTTTCTCAATGAGTCGACTACTGCAGAAGGTGAACTGAAATTAGTTATGTCTATCAACCTGGTGCAAACTCTCATACATAGTGTAGTTTAATGAAAGTGACTCTAATTCAAATACACCTGATGTCATCATATTGTAAGGAAAAGCTAGAACAAATCAATTCTTAGCCTGGAGGTATTGAGTACCTGGCACAAATTTAACTGAGTTGCCTTTCTGGACAAGTCTTACACATTTGCACTTTGCAGGCTTTAGTTATTTCCTGAGTTATACTGTGACTTTTGAATTAATAAATGCAAAAATACTTCAGGTAGGTAAAAACATGACCCTGTGTGCACATTATTCTTAAAACATATAATTTTGGAGAAAATGTTAAACTTCCTCTTGTAAGAGATCTGTTCAACAATTTCACATAAAATTCCTTTCTACATTATCCCATTGTCTGAAGAGGTTTCTTCCTCATTCATTCCAAAATGTTCTTTGTGACAAGGTGGAGGGTTTTCATACTCACAAAATACATGTCTGTTGCTGGAACCTCCTCATCGTCATCATCTTCTGCCTCCTCAGAGGCATGGCTAGCTGCCTCTGAGATTTGACTCACAGTGTCTGCTTCCAAAGTAACAGTGGAACTTGTACGTGCAGATGCTGAAGGAACTTCCCTAAAATGTAGAGATTCTCATTTAAAAGGTTCAGAAGAGACCTCCTGCTGACACACTTGCATACATGGAATTACACTTAAATGTCTTAATGCTCAATTCGTTCTACAAGAACAGTGAACAGTATTGGGCGTAACACCAATCTCTGAAGAACACGAAACACAACTGGTAATCTCAGTGACTTCGAAGGATTCTCTTGGATACGTAGATCATATCTCTGCACAGACACACACAGACACACAAAAACAACTAGGAGCAATGTACTAATTTGCAAATACAGATGCACAGTTAAAATGCTGGAGACAGAATGCCAATGTGCACTGGAATATACTGGGGGCATTGCTCTATACATTACAGGGCATAAGTGAACAGGTTAGTATGCTAATATTTGTACAGAGTACACGACTACATATCCAGGTCTAACACAAGGACATCTTACGAACATACAGTTACCTTGTGGTACAGTCAAGAAACTACACAGGTAGAGAAATTAAACTTCTGGATTTAGATTTTTTTGGTCAAATTAGCTTGTTCAAGTAAATTTGTCTCTAAAATTTGAAATGTTATCACACTGAAAACTTCAGACAAATTCCACATTTCCAGAAGATGCACGACTGCACTAAAACCTGAATATGCTTTCATTTATGTTCACAATTCTACTTAATATTTCCAAAATATACCAATTTTGAACATGGAACCAAATTATTACACAAGTGTCTGAAAAACATTTACCCTTTCAAAGAAACTCTTTAAAGCCAACAATTTAACATTGTGCACTATAAACAAGAATGTGAATGATTAAAGCTGACAGATGGTGCAATGAACCACAAATTTTAAATGCCAACTCTTGTTTCTATTGTTGAGTGTAACTACGTCAAATGGTTAAAGTGTGCTTGGTGGCTCACCAACAATTGTGTTACCATTTGCCCTGCAGAAGTAAAGCTTACTGGCATGCTGGAAAATTCTGAAGTGATTAGATTTTTGTGGATTTTTTTTCAATAAGACAGGTAAAAATGGTCAGCCACAAAAGCAAGAAGAGTCAAGTTTGATTAGGCAGGACAACTTTAAATTGGATAGTGTATCAACTGCACAGAAGCAAAATAATAAAAGTCAAGTACTTGAATAGACTTACTCATTAGTATCGTGTTTTTTTTGCTCCTGCTTATCATGCCGAGACCAGGGTTCAGAAAGGGAGCAGTTCTTGAGTAAATTAAGAAAAAAGGCATGTGCCATAGTAGAGCTTTTATTTTTCCAGAGCTTTGGGGCAAATTCCAGAAAAGAAGAATGAGACCCAGAGAGTTTTTTTCTAAAGCCAGTGTGGTAAGAATGGGCCAAGTAGCCTTGTTATAATCCTTCTATGATTTTGAGATCTGTTTACCCCAATGTATATGTGATATAATGACTGATGCTCAATAATGGTCTGATTTAGGTACGTGTTTTCATGATCTCAGAAAACAAATAGAATGGCTTTTAATGAATATTAGTTGACAGTCTATCCCGAGAAAGCCAGGAAGGGGAAAAAAGTTTTGGAGATTGCCCCTATGAAGAAGAGATGGGTAGAAAATGGAAGAAAATTTTATGAATTTTTACAGTTCAAGATAAGAGCAGAAAGTAGCACTGATACACAATCATCAAAATACCAGGAAAAGAAGTAATGCAAGATTGCAGGGAAAAAAAACAAGAACTGCACAATACATTCTTGACTGCCTTAGTCCTGTCCCTTCCCACATGGAAATTAATCTGCATTCAATCCCTAACTCTTACTTGAATAAGAACACAAGAATATAAGAAATAGGAGCAGGAGTAGGCTATCTGGCCCATCGAGCCTGCTCCACCATTCAAATAAGATCATGGCTGAACCTTTTGTGGGCTCAGCTACACTTAACCACCCACTCACCATAACCCTGAATTCCCTTACTGTCCAAAAATCCATCTTTGCCTTAAAAACATTCAACGAGGTAGCTTCAACTGCTTCACTGGGCAGGGAATTCCACAGATTCACAACCCTTTGGGTTAGTAAGTTCCTCCTTACCTCCAATCTGAATCTGCTCCCCCTTATTGTGAGACTATACACCCTAGATCAAGTTTCACCCACCAGAGGAAACAACCTCCCTGCTTCTAGCTTACTTATTTCCTTCATAATTTTATCTGTTTCTACAAGATCCCCACCTCATTCTTCTAAATTCCAATGAGTATTGACCCAGTCTACTTAATCTCTCCTCAAAAGCCAACCCTTTCAACAATTAAGCACAATTATTCATATCTATGTATTTCAAAGTTGCTTAGCTGGTTCTTTAATGAAGATGTTCATGGATGGTGAAATAGTTCTGCATTATCTATCCCAAGGAAATATAATTTCTAATCTCCAATATTGAGTAACGTGAAATTTGTTACACATAACATCATAATATTGAGCTATCCCCAGAAAACATACACTAACGTTTTATCCTCTTCCTCTTCTGTTGCTTCTTCCTCAGCTGTATGCTCAGTTTCGGTACTGGATTTTGCCTCCAGCTCAACAGTGACCCGCTGTAGGCCAGTTTCTGTGACCATCTCATCAGACCTAGGAACAAAAAAAATTTTAACAGAAGAATTTTTGGCAGGTTTGTACTATTTTTCTGAATTTTATATTAGTGAAATTATAAATAACTTTACAAAGATACCTTTTGATTAAGACTGTCTTCTTGCATTCTAATTCAAATTTCCCTATTAGCTTAAATGGGACAATCAGTGCAGAACGATGCCATACAAATCCAGAGATCTAGGGACCGGCAGGATGAAACAGCTTGGGCTCAGTTTTGGTCATTAACCAGCATCTGATGCTGGAAGCATACATTTGGATACTGGATGATTTCCGTCTCAGGATAGCATGTGCTGTGCACATAAGAACATAAGAACTAGGAGCAGGAGTAGGCCGTCTGGCCCTTCGAGCCTGCTCCGCCATTCAATAAGATCATGGCTGATCCTTTCGTGGACTCAGATCCACTTACCCGCATTCTCACCGTATCCCTTAATTCCTTTATTGTTCAAAAAAATATCTACCTTTTTTTTAAAAACATTTACTGAAGTAGCGTCAACTACTTCACTGGCCAAGAAATTCCATAGATTAACAACCCTCTGGGTGAAGAAATTCCTTCTCAGTTCAGTCCTAAATCTGCTCCCTCTAATCTTGAGGCTTTGCCCTCTTGTCCTAGCTTCACCTGCCAGTGGAAACGTCCTCTCTACTTCTATCTTATCCATTCCGTTCATAATTTTATATGTTTCTATAAGATCCCCCTTCAATCTTCTGAATTCCAATGAATATAATCCCAATCTACTCAGTCTCTCCTCATAAGCCAACCCCCTCAATTCCGGAATCAACCTAGTGAACCTCCTTTGCACCCCCTCCAGTGCCAGTACATCCTTTCTCAAGTAAGGAGACCAAAACTGCACACAGTACTCCAGGTGTGGCCTCACCAACACCTTGTACAGCTGCAACATAACCTCTCTGCTTTTTATTTCAATCCCTTTAGCAATGAAGGACAAAATTCCATTTGCCTTCCTAATTACTTGTTGTACCTGCAGACCTACCTTCTGTGATTCATGCATAGCAGCATGCTGCAACTTTTTACCATTCAAGTAATAATCCTTTTTACTATTACTCCTACGAAAATGTATGATTTCACATTTATTTACATTGTATTCCATCTGCCAGACCTTTGCCCACTCACTCAGTGTATCTATGTTCCTCTGCAAAGTTTCACAGTCCTCTGCACACTTTGCTTTGCCACTCATCTTAGTGTCATCTGCAAACGTTGACACCCTACACGTGGTCCCCAACTCCAAATCATCTATATAAATTGTAAATAATTGCGGTCCCAACACCAATCCCCGAGGCACACCACTAGTCACTGACTGCCAGCTAGAATAGCACTCATTTATCCCCACTCTTTGCTTCCTGTTAGTCAATGTCAGCACATGAGAAAGGTAGCAATAGGCAGCTGCCATTGTAAAACTGCACCTCAGTAAATTTTTCAAAAGATGAAGGGCAAAAATAAATCCAGGACACCAACAAACTTGTAATCACCTCAACTGTTTTGCAATTGAACAATTACAGGCTGCCAAGTTGAACTGCAATAAAAAGATTTATTTGATGTTTAAAATCTCTAGTTAATTTTGTTAAGATGAACACTTCGTAGATTTTTGTTTTTCTGTTTTCTGTTTCCTTCCCCTCCACTTGGAGCTTGAAGAAAATATTACACCCTGAGGTGTGATGAGCCCAATGACCGCCTTTTATACTTTGACTCTATGTCTGTGACACTAAGAAAAAGAAACTAATTTGAAAAGCTACCGGCCTCAAATCAGCATTCTGCACTTTAAATTATTGCATTGCAGAAAGAAATTGTCTATTCTCTCAATGAAATAATTTCAGAATAACCAAAAAGAATAACTGGTGTCTTAGGTTGGTTGCTGTGTATTCGTGTCTCAGATATGAAAGCTTGAGTATTGCTGAAAAAGGGAAACATGCCATTGAAGCTTTTCATCTTGCACTCAGAAGGATGTACATAAGAACACCAAATTTTAAAGGGGGAAGAACAATTCATGCTTCATGAGAAAAAGGTGTTGATTGGTGTCAAATTCACAAATGAACCAAAGGCTCCCACCTTTGATCCTGAAAAAGGCACAGTCCACTTCAAATTATCCTGGCAGGGTAAGGAACTTCAAAAGCTTGAGCACAGGTAATGTTAGTCATTTCACGCTACTACTAAGCAATAACGACACAAGTAGTATGCTCCACTAATCAGATGCTGCCACCAAGTCAAAATGATACATATTCCGCATCTCACTGGTCCTGAAATTCATCGACCACACCGATAAGTGAGGGGTACATGAATTTTAGTATCATTGTGACGCTGGGAATGTAGTCCACACATCCTAATCACTGATGGATTGTATCAATGAACACATCCTTTCAGCTGTTAATAACAGGCAGAATATCAACCACAACCAATCAATACATGCTTGAAAAACTCAGACTAAAGTGTTAACTTTGGATGCAATTTGGTAACTGGACAACATGAATGAAAAATTTCAAGCGTGCTAAGTATTAGATTAATGACCAAATTAAGATCAGTCAGGTTTGCAACATGGTTTACTTATGATTGTTAAAAACTACATATACGCAGGACCCTGTCCTCTGCAAACATAGGAACATGTACAAGCATTGGGCCTTCTTCAACCGAACCAATGTTGGGGGACAGCAGTTCCCTGGTGTATTCCCCATCGCAATGCTTCAACCAGAGTCAGCATGTGTTTCTTGAATTTAAACCAAAGGCTTGGAGATTACTGTTCCTCAGATGATTATCTGTGGCAATGCCTTGACCAATCAAGCAATCAGTATCTTTCTCTTCCACAATATAAATTGTAACTTCTGCTTAAAATTTGGTATTCATACCTATTCAGATGAATACAGGACGAGTACAAGATGAGAAGCTTCAACCTCACAGGTCTCAGAAATACTCAAATTCTGTACTACCAAACACAGTTTATTTATTAGAACTGTTCACCTCTTGACGCTCTATGGCTGGCCTCCGTACAGTTCATATATCCTGGTGTGGCTCTCTACTCAAAATGTTGCTGAACCCTTAGACAGGCAAGTCAACTAAAAACTGCTGTCTGGTTTATTGCTAACTAAGCACAAGTTATGAAAGATACTAAACAATATGAAATTTGGCAAAAATGCCTAGCAAATAATTGTTGGTGCATAGTGAGCATAAGTTCAGTGAAAGAAAAATTCAAAAGGAGCAGGATGAGTTCTCAAGAGTGGCTAAATATCCACAGGATGAGGTAAATGGGTGATCACTTGTTATATGTTTGACTGCCTTTGGGGCTGGGGCAGGAGTGGAAGCCAGAAAATAACATGCTCAGTACTTTTTCCTGCAATTGATCAAGGAGTTTTTTTAACAAGCTATCTTAAGAAATTTCATAGCTGAATTGGGGGTCGGCGGCAGGGTAGGAGGAGCGGGAGGCAGGGTAGAAGAGAGGAAACACCATTCTAAGATGGGATTTATAGTAAACCAATTTGTTTTTTAACCTGTTCTTTCTCATCATTCTATGAAAATCCAATTAGAAATGTTGTGATATTGTCCCTACCTGTGGACCAGGAGACCTGAATTCGAGTTCCACCTGCTCCAGAAATATGTAATGACATCTCTGAACAGATTGATTAGAAAATAGCGACAAAATCTAATTCATTGAGGCTACAGGTTTACTGCAGAAGTGAATCATAATATGAGCAATTTTTCTCTAGCATGTCACTGCCATCAATGACAGTGTGATTCGGAAGTTTGCAACAATCTAAGGTCATGAGATCAAAATACTTCCAATTAAACAATGCTTAGCTATAGAATAAGTGGCATCCAAAAGAATTTTCCCTTTTTTGGATGCGATTATGATGTGGAATACAACTGAAAAGGTGGTGGAAGCAGATTCAATAGTAATTTACTAAAAGAATTCAATTACAAGACCATGGGGAAGAGCTATGGAGTGAGGCTAATTAGGGAACACTGAAAGAGCTGGATAGATAAGAGAACTTTATTTGGTGTTACGTGAATTATTAACAATACCCAAGCCAGGTCAGATTGGATATTTTGTAATGGTATATAGTCCGGCCAAATTATGAGCCGTGCTCAATGTGACAAACCTCATCTTCATCATAGTGGTAACTAGCTATATAATACCCAGACATATATTCCGCTCATTGGTACAACTCTGAGCTTAACAGACAACACAGAAAATAGCAAGTCTGATTCTCACCCAATATCTGGTGCTGATGATAGTGTAGTTTTCCTAAGCAGGCATAAACAAACAGAATAAACAGTAAAAGATAATGGAGATTAGATCGCCATGTATATTAAAACACATTTGTCTAAGTAGAACGATGAGGCCTCAACTTAAACATAGAATTGTCACCTTCTGAGAAGATCAGTTCACAAACGGGTTTATACGCAAAATGATCAAGTATCATCCATGGAGATGAGTTAGTGGAACTCTGGTCACTACATCACAAGATTCTGAGATTAAGTCCCACTCTCAGTCTTGAGCACAGAAATCACAGGCCGTACTTCAGCACAGTATCGAGGGAGGAAACATTAAGGCCGGCTCTGTCTACTTGCGTGCATGTAAAAGACTCTACGACACAATTTCGAAGGGCAGGACAATTAGTTCCTGCGTCTTGGTCAATAATTATCCCTCAATCAACATCACAAGAAAAACTAATCATCTGGTCACATGGCTGTTTGTGGGAGTTTGCAAGGTGCAACTTGGTTACCATGCTTTCTATGTTACAAGAGTGACTACATTTCAAAGGTACTTTATTTGAGATTATGGTGGTTGTGAAAGCACTATACAAATGAAAGTCTTTTATTCTTTATTAAATAAAGTATATTGTGCTAAAATGCAACATTAGGCAAACCAACTGTCCTGTTATGAGATTTATCATTTTTCAAATGACCTTCACTACTGGTAAATCAGACATGATTATTTTGAGTTGACGCAAAAGGCAAAAATAAGAAATTTATAGGCAGTGAAGCACAAAATGGCCTCCAAGTTCTACAGCTCCTTCCCTCAACCTCGCTACTCCTTTAATAGGAGAGTTACAGTAAAATCGCTTTGACCTAGCTTTTAACTACTTTTCTCAATATTGCCATACATGGTGTTAAATTTTGTTTGATGATATTCTTGTGAGGCATCTTTAGATGCTTTAGTAGGTAAAAGATGAAATATGAATGCATGTTGCTGTTTTCCTTTGAATAAAACAAAACATCAAAACAGTACACAAGTAGATTACCAAAATTAGACAATAATTTAATATTTTATTCACTCCTGAGGATGTGAGTGTCACTGACTAGGTCTGCATTTATAGCCCATCCCTGATTGCCCTTGAGGAGATGGTGGTGAGCTGTCTTCTTGAACTGCTGCAATCCATAAGAAAGGCTGGATGGGCTGGGACTTTTTCCACTGGAGCACAGGAAGTTCAGAGGTGACCTTACAGAAGTTTATAACATAAGAGGTATAGATAGGGTTAATGGTAGTTGTCTTTTCCCTAGGATGGGGGATTTCAAGACTAGGGGGCACATTTTTAAGGTGAGAGGAGAGAGATTTAAAAAAGACGTAAGACACAAATTTTTTACACAGAGGGTGGTTTGGGTGTGGAATGAACTTCCTGAGGAAGTGGTGGGTGTGGGTACAATTACAATGTTTAAAAGACACTTGAACAGATACATGAATAGGGAAGATTTGGAGGGATATGGGCCAGGAGCAGGCTGTTGGGACTAGTTTAGTTTGGGATTATGTTCAGCATGGACTGGTTGGACCGAAGAGTCTGTTTCCGTGTTGTATGACTCTGTGCGCTGCAGGTAAACTTATAATGCCCGTATGGAGGGAATTCCAGGATTTTGTCCAAATGACACTAAAGGAATAGCAACAGATTTCCAACTCAGCATAGTGAATGGCTTAGAGGAGATCTTGCAGGTAGTTGAGTTCCTGTGAATCTTGACCTTTTAGATGGTACTGGTGCTGTCGAAGGATCTTTGGTGAATTTCTGCAGTGCATCTTGCAGCTGGTACACACTGTTGCTACTGAGCACCAGTGGTGGAAGGAGTGGACATATGTGGATGTGGTGCCAATCAAGCAGGTTGTCTTATCCTGGATAGTGTCAAGCTTCTTGAGTGTTGTTGGAGCTGCACTCATCAGGCAAATGGGGAGTATTCCATCATCCTCCTTACTTGTGCCTTATAGATATTGGATAGACTCGGGGAGTCAGAAAGTGAGTTAATTGCCTAACCTCTGGCCTGCTTTGGTAGTCACTATATTTATATGCAGAATCAGTTAAGTTTCCGGTCAATACTATTCCTCAGGATGTTGGTAGTAAGGGACTCAGTGATGGGAACACCATTGAATGTCATGGGGCAGTGGTTAGACTGTCTCTGGAGATGGTCATTGTCTAGTATTTGTGTGGTGCAAATGTTACTTGCCATTTGCCAGCTTAAACCTGGACATTGTCCAGGTCTTGGTGTATTTGAACACGTACTGCTTCAGTATCTGAGTAGTCACGAATAGTGCCCTTGGACACTATGCAACCATCGGCAAACATCGCCACTTCTGATCTTATGATTCTAAACATAAATTAGGGGATTAAATAAAGCTTTTAATAAAAGGGAGCACTTGCAAAAGAATCACACAACTTGAATTAACTCAAAGAAATTTCAACAATAATTAATATTAAAAGCTTTACTATCATCTAAGGAACTCTGTCTGAAGGCTCCAGGACTTATGTGAATTATAACCTTGGCATTAACGTTATTTGGTACATCTCACAACAGCCACCCAAATATAATTCTATGAATTAATGACAATAAGAATGTGAATTGGCATCACATATCTAACAGGAGACTCATTATGGAAACCTTTAATGGCCAATTATGTAAACAGGTAAGAAGCCTAAAAAGGAAAAGGACATTTTTTTTTAAAAAAAAGAAGAGATACATTTCATATATAATGTGCTTTCTGATGCACTTTTTCAAGTCATTCGGACAGCCATATGAATCTCCGGTCTGGTAGTTATGACTATACAGTACAGAACAGACAGGGTACCTGCTAACAAAGATGATGGAAGGAATAGGCACCGAGTTCTATTACAATCATTAGAAGCAATGGCCAAAAATTATACTAATGATATTTTTTAAAGCATGAGACATACAGACAAATGGATTGGTTACTGAAGGTATGTCTACCCAAAGGATTCAAACTCATGCTACATACCTGTAGCGATGATGATGCTCTGAGCCTTCTGATGGTGACTGTTCTGTTATTGACAAGGATGTTGTTGATGACAGGGTTGTTGCTATTGAAGCTGTAGTTGCTTCTTCAAATGAAGGGGGAGTGCAAGGAAGGAGATCTGGCCGGCCCAACAGTCCTAAAAAAAGTTGCCAAGTTAAAAAGCTACCAACAACATCAGAAAAAAACCACTACCCTACCACAACATGAAGCTAAATTATCCAAATTAAAAATGAGTGACGAGGGATCCTGTTCAGCTCAATGTTATGACTATGTAACTGCCTTCTGGTTATTCCTTATATTTCACGCAAAATACATAAACTTAAAATAAATCAGGATGCTGGATTCAGATGACATGCACACAAAAGGTGATTAAAGAGCTGGGCCACTTGTTTTAACAGCTCCTTGCCAAAATATCAGTAGTAACAGGGCCTGTTTCCTTGAATCGGAAGGATGCTCATATTGTTTTAATTTTCACTAAAGCATGACAAGTCAGTTTAGGAGAAGTGTAGACCTTTCAGTCTAAGGTCACCTGCAAGTAAAGACTGCCAAATAGATCATAGGGGATGCTTTTTAAGTTCAAGTTAGATTAGATCAGGAAGTTAATTTAGCCATTAGAATAACTGATAAAACTGAAAATACTGATAAAACTGGTTGTGTCCTACAGACTTACTAAAATTCTTTTACTAATTAGTGGGTGGCAGTGGTATTTTCAGAGACCTCACAATAAGCAAGAATTTTGTGGAATCAGTGTAAAGTGGTTACAAGGAATTAGATTTAACTGTATTCCCACTGGCAGAACACTATTATTCATAGCTGTAGATCTACTCAGAAGTAACTGATTAGAGGCCATTGACTAGAAATGTCTCTGGGGGATCAGTGTTAGAATCTTTGCTGTTAACTATCTTCATAAATTACCTGGATATAGGCATTATGATAATGATCTGCAAGTTTACAGATGAGATCATTTGCTTTAGGAGTGGAGAACAAATTTCTGCAAATAGATTTAGATGTTATGGAAATTGAGCCAAACTGGTAAATGGCAGTGTACCATTCGGTGCACTGGTATTCTCATTTGAGGAGAATCAACACTAGCAGTGCACTTAAACTTTATATTTTTTATGTAAAGGGTTATTGGAGAGAGATAAAAATTTGAAGGGATTCTGTTGTAGGGACAATTACCTTCATCTTCAAGAGTTGGGAAGCTCCTGGCTCCCCGCAGGTCATACCGTTTATCTTCATCTTCTGTAGGAATCTGACTGGCAGAAAAAGCTTGCCCTGGACCAATATATTTAGGAACTGGTAGAGAAGCACGTCCTTTCTTGGATGGGGATGACTTCAAGGCTGTCGTGTTATGAAATTGAAATGCTAAATGAATGTCAATGAATGAGACATATCAGACATCAAGGTTAATATAAATCATGTTTAAAGACTCTATGCCACTATACTGTCCTGGGACATGGTGTAACCAAGATTCCTGTTTCAATGAAAGTTAAGATTAACAAATAATCCTCTTTAGATTGTTGCAGGATCTTGCTGCATGCAAAATAGTTTCGTCATCATCTGCATTGTATTTGCTGAAGTGTAGAAAAGCCACTAATTCTGCATAAAACACCTTCAGACATTTCTGAAAGATGTGATAATAACTACTTAAGTAAAATCAGTTATTTTTTAGTGGATAAATGCACCCCATTGTGGTGAATTAAACCATACCAATTAACAAGCTTGATTCTAAACCTCTGCTGATGTCTGTACTGCAGGAATAGGAACATGAGATCAGCCTGTGTTTCCCATAGTCAAGGATAGATAACTGTTAGCCATACTCTACTGGAGATAAATATATTTTGATAGGATCAAATTTAGCTGGCATATCCCTACAGTAGAACTACCTGTTGCCTCTCTGTCCAAACTCAACCATAATGAATAGTCCTTCTTGGACTGTGTTACGTGTGGACTCCATAGCTATCCGTTTTTTTTTTAAAACTTTTTAACTCAATTCATGGTAACCTTAGTCAGAAGTACCAGATTGAAAGATTGCGTTTCTGACTAGAGTACAATCCTTACTTACGTGATGTCTTTCTGAAGACAGTGTTGCTCATAAATTTATAAAACCTTTCAGCATAGAAGTTTGGCCTGTGCACTGACACAGTGTCCTGTAGAAGCAAATAAGAATGATAAGATCACTCAACTGTTACATTTTGCAAAGGAGCAGCTATTCTTAACAAACTTAGACCAGTTATGACTAACTAATGCAGAGTTGTAGAATCAAACCATCAAATAGTTAATTATTAGGCACTGTGCTAAAGATTTTTAGAAGTTTTTTTTGTTTTGTTTTTACATTCTCCTGACAATCATGAGATAACTAAAAGTGAAATCCTGGACACAAATCCAGAGCTTCAGCTGAGAGTTGCAATTGGTTTCCCATGATTTTAAGTATTACCATATAGTGTACTGTTGACATGAAACATTTCAATTGTATCATTTTAAGATGAAAACTTACACCATCATGAACAAGTGCTTTCCAAGTGTGTTCCAATTTCTTGATTAATCTGAAAATGAACATCTACATAGTGAGATTAACATTAGTTTCTATTAAACCTCAATCTATTTACGTTAAGATGGAAAGCATCCTTTCAACACTTCAATAAACTTTAGCACTTTCATGAGAATAAAAAGATTGTGACATTAAATAGACATCAGCATATAATCTAGGCTAACACCTCAATGCAGTATTGGAACTGCTGCATTGATGAAAAAAGTCATCTTTCAGATGACATTATTTAGATAATATTAAATCCAGACATCTAGTCCCTTGGAATGAATACATAGATCCCATAACATTATTTTAAGAACAGACAACTGCACTCCTAAACCTCAACAAGTATTACTAAACAGATATGAACATTACCCTCTTTTTTTTTTTAAATGAAATCATACAGTGCACACATATGCTACAATTGCTAATATTTAATCAGTGCAATACATAAAACTTCAATGTTAAATCTGACTTCAAACAAGAGCACTAATAGAACGAGCTCAGGTCTAGAAAGAATACGAACAGGGAAAAGAGAAAATTGCCTTCAGCCCTTAGTGACTTGTGGTAAAATCAGTGAGGATCTAATTTACACAAATGAGAAAAGTCCCCGACTCTATGACCGGACTTAGCCATCCTTGGCCCAAGTAGCAGCTGGATTCCTTCACTTGGTCTCAGTGCATCTTTTAAACCATGTGGTCCTGTATGGGACTCTGCCACCAGCACATTTCAATTTGTTTCACTCCAGTCCTGATGCTGTCCCACTCTTGAATTCAACAAGACTCTTTAGATAGCATCTTCCAAACTCATGAAAAGTAGCATCTAGAAGACAAGGGCAGCAGATCTGTGGAACATCACCACCAGCAAGTACCCCTCCAAGCCACGTTTAATCCCAATTTGTAAACATATGGCTGTTCCTTCATTGACACTGAGTCAAAATCCTGGAACTCCCTCCAAACAGCATTGCGTGTCTACTTACACTAACAGGATTGCAGCAGTTCAAGAAGGTACCTCACCATCACCTTCTTACGGACAGTAAATGGTGGCCATCCAGTGACTCCCACATCTCGTGAATGAATTTTAAAAATGTCCTTAAAATTGTTCTTAAATATACTTCATCAGGTCTTCTTTGTCAACCTTGTCTTTTGCCATCTGGTCCTGTCCATTTAACTGTCACTCCACGCACAGTGGCTCAGTGGTTAGCACTGCTGCTGCACAGTGCCAGGGACCCAGGTTCAATTCCACCCTCAGGCGACTGTCTGTGTGGAGTTTGCACATTCTCCTCGTGTCTGCATGGGTTTCCACCGGGTGCTCCGGTTTTGTCCCACAGTCCAAAGATGCGCAGGCTAGGTGGATTGGCTATGCTAAATTGCCTATAGTATTCAGGGATGTGTAGATTAGGTAAGTTATACGGGGATGGGTCTGGGTGGAGGCTCTGAGGGTCGGTGCGGACTTGTTGGGCCAGAGGGCCTGTTTCCACACTGTAGGGATTCTATGGAAAAAAAACTGCATACCAGCTGTGTCTATGCCACAATGCCCTGTTGGCACCTCTGACCAGTTCTATATGGCCCTCTAATTAGTGATCTCTACAAATGAATACCCAGGGACTTATGTAGGCAATACTGTTGGAAATTATCCAACTTAAATGACTTGTTTGTTGTTCTCTTCTACGTCCCGCTGGCACAGATTGAACTTGGTACATCAGATATGTGGAGGTGTAGCTTCACATCTGTGTTGTTGGTGTTGGATGCCCATACCATGCGATTGATTGGAAAACTGAAGTTGCTTTGCTGCTTCTTTTATGGACGTCAACTGCTATATCACCCTCCCTGGAGATGTTACTTTTTTAGGGAAAGAAAGTGATCTGTGTCTTCAATATCATGTGTCCAATGATAATGAGGATGGGAGGTTTGTTGCCAGCCAATGATGATCATCTTGGTCTTCTCACAGCTGACGTACAGCCAGAGTTTTATGCCTCTACTCTACAGACTGGTCGTCATGTCTTGGAACGTCATTGATTCTTCAGTAAGCAAGATGATGTCATCTACAAAATCCAGGTTTATCAACTGGTGTCGTTGTCACAAGATGCTAAAGTCTGCATCTATCATCACTTTCCTCATGATGAAATCAATAACCAAGGGGAAAAGGAATACAGAGACTATGTAACCTTAGCATAGTTCTCTAATGAAGAAGGAGACGGTAGTGCCCTTGCCGATCTTTATGCTGCAGTTGGAGTTGTGGTACAAGATTTTTAAGATACAAATTTACATTCCTGAATGCTGTAGTGCCTTGAAATGGAGCGGAAAGACTACCGATGAATACAATCAAAAGCCTTCTCAAAATCAATAGTTAGTACCAAGCGGCTTTTGGTAATCTAGGTTGAACATAACGAACTGCACACAGCATGATCTCCCAACCCAGAAATCTACCTGATCTTCACAAAGGTTACATCTACTTCTGTTTTCAATCTGTGAAGGAAGACCATGCTGAAGATCTTGCCCGGTACTAACAGCAGTGTTCTGCTCCTCCAGTTGCTCCAATCGCCAACATTCCTTTTGTTGGCAGCTTGGCGATTGTCTTCGTCATCTAGGTATTGTTGAACAAATCTGTTGTGACTGCATCTTTGTCATGTTTCAATAGCTCTATTTGTATCTCAGCTCATGATGGTTCTTTGAACCTCTGATCTGGCAATTTCGCCCAGGTTGATGTTCAGCAACTGAGGTGTAGCGTAGTCATTGAATTCTGGGCTAAGCAAACAAAACATTTCCAGCTCTTTACTGCTATCCAGCAACGCCTGCTTGAAGTATCATAAGGACAAAATTAAGTTTAGCTGCCATGTCACTTCCAAGCCAAATACCTTACAGTTTTCAACCACTAAACTTAAATGAAGGCTACTACAGGCCACACAAATCTGTCCTCAAAAATTGGATAGAGTCAAAAGAATATAAAATTAACAAAACCAGTGGTCTGCATTATATTTTTCACAATACACAGATGTTAAAATGAAAAACCATTCAAACTCCATTTTACTCACTGCATTTAAGCAGAAACAATGGCCTACCTGTAGGACTGCAAAATGTCAATTATACCAATGTACAAGAGAAGTCTCTCTCCTTTGCCATTTATGGCAGGTATACCTCCCATCCTAATACAAAGAGGAGAAAGTGTAAATACTATGTTATGACCTAATAATGTAACATTGTACAGTAACAAACAACGAATGAGATCAATTTCTCACGGGAAAAAATATCATTGCTTTTTTGGGACTTCCTTTTGAAGTTACACAACTTGAACCTAATTGTCAATTAGTTTCCATAATTTCTTCAACATGCAAGTGCAGATCACCTTATTAAGCATTCAGTTCTAAGACTGTCTAATGCTGAAAGTGTTGCTCGTGCTCTTCTCTTGACACATGGATCTTGCATACCTCTACTGTCGTTACGGTATTCATACAATTCGAGCAGTGTTACCATGATACTTCATCAAGGATGGGGCCTATGATTGCAACAAGTAATTTTGGATGAAAGTCATGCTGAAGTTGTAAAGAGCGGATTTCAAAATGAATTTAGGTAAACCACACAATTTAACCACTTAATTGGTAGAGTCAGACTCTGGGGAAGGCAAACAAGAATTTTCATTGGTGCAGGAGGAAACATCTTTTAAAGACTCAGAAGGAAGTTCTTCAATTCAGCAATATAGTTCAAGTTTAAATCATGCTGCATTTACTTGAGAGCAGTTGATAAAAACAAAGTTCAAGTTAATCATATCAGGCCCTGTCATTTGTAAACTAAAAGTTAAAATGAAAATTTCTTTTTAAAAATACATCACATACGTATCATCTGTGTCGATTGACTCGCCCCGTGAAGTTCCACCTTGAATAGATTCCATGGCTGTGGAATATAGAGCTTTCTGTGCAATAGGTCGCTTCTCATCAGAGGTACTTAGTAATCCCTCAGCCTGTCTTTCACGTTCTGCTTGGTCCAAATTGTGAATGCCCAACAATAAACTGTAATCCATGATTTTAAAGCTCTCTAAAACCTATTAAGATCATAGGAATTCAGAAATACAATAATTAGTGATGCTCCAAACAAGAATGAGAGGAAGTCAAACAATCCAGATTGAAAATTTGACTGACAGCACAAAATTAATCAAATTGGAATTAAAATATTCCAAAACATTCCAATTTTAAAAATATTTTAAAATAAACATTAAAATTTCATTAAAGTATATTCAACCTAAAATAAGAAACATGCTACAAAACTGAAATATTCCTTCTAATCTCAGATAAATTACGTTAAATTGGAAGCATTTACAATATTACCCATTGGTTTAGGTCGGGAAAACAGTGGCTAAACCATACACACACCATATCTCCCCAAGAAACACTTTGGTCAGATAAACTGTTCACCAGTCAATTGAGACAAGGATTTAAAAAGGTGTTAGAAGAATACTTATTCCAATTTTTACTTATCATTCCCCTTCCAAAAGGTAACACTCATGGCCCTTCAAGTTGTATCTTCTATGGTGGTGCCAGGTTTTCCTTAAAGTTATCTTCTTTAATCTAATTTTGTTTTTTTTCAATCTCTTGTACATTTTGACATTCTTGTTCCTCATTCTTCCCGAGTGTTACCTGATCAAATCATTAGAAACTATTTTCCAAATCAGTTCCTTGCTCTAATCTTGAACATACTGTTAAGTCATATTATTTTCTCCCTTAAAAGCTCAATAACACAGATGCTAGCCTTACCAGACAATCTCTCTGTAGAGTTTTAATCAGAGCACTGTTTGTGTCTGTGTCCAAAAGTAACCCATCTGCGAAATCCTGCATGAAGTCCAGGTCTTTGAATGTTGGCCTGCATTTCTCACGCTCTTTTCTTGAAGCTCTCCGTTTGTAGGTTGAACCTTTTAAATCATACTTCAAATGCATCTTCACCACTCGTGGTAACACATTATTCATCACTGCCACTCGGATATTTTTGCCACCAGACTGGACACAATAAAGTCCATAAAACTTTGGCAAGAGAGTCCTTGGGTTTTGATTCAGATTCTGGAACAAAATAGACAAACTACTTTCAATATATTAGCGAAATACATGAATGAATATCATCCTTCATATGTCAAGAACACAGGATAATGCTCCACATGCCAAGACTTTTGCCTAGATTTTGGCTAGAGTGTCCCAATCCCCACGTTGGTGTCATTCTCTGATAACCAACGTTTTTAATAATCAAATGGATATCGGCTGCTAAAAGGCAGCCCTTGAACCATTCTCATCAAAAACAATCTTGAGGCAGGAACATGTCAGCAAAATGACTAGCAGCACAAAACTACAAGCCTGGTGATCAGGCTGTTCTGGCCTCTGCCAAATTTCCAAAATCATCCCCAGAGTCACTGGATGTCATTTCATCTTAAAATTAACATTCAATTTTTCTCCTATGGGTGAATTGAAATGGAATAGAAATATTTATACATTTCAGAGATTGCATAACAGTTAGACAGCTGGCTGATGAGAAGTGCATCAAATTCCACGCACAAATATTTCCAATAACTTACTACCATGCAGCATCTCAGGCCTCATGTGGATGGCTGTTGGCTGAGGTACCAAACGGTTATGGTGTCTATGGAACTATATTCTAGCAAGGGTCAAGACCTTTAAAAAGAGGAGGTGGTAAAAATGGGGGATGGTTGAAGAGTGGATGGAGAGAAAATTTACTCACCATATAATAACCTGGAAGTAACTTTTGCAGAAATTCTGCTTCTTTGTTTACAACGGTCTTTATTATGAACTCATCATCACTAGTCACATAAAAGAGAGAACCACTGGCACCAGGATTGGAGAGTTCAATCAAGGGCTCATTGCACAATGAATACTGTCAGAAAACACATTAAAAAAGCAAGCTTTTATCTAGAATCCAAATTTTGTTGATACATTTACTACTAATTTACCCACCATTTTTAATGGTCTGTATATATATCACAGTTATTTCTTTGTTCATTATCAACAAAATAAATTCAGAAAAGTTTACTTTATAAAAGCTCAAATATGCATTCCAGAGAATCTCATCGAGTAGGTATTTTAAAATTACATCTGTACCCATGATGTTACCTTTCACAATGCGGTTCTGGCGTGTTCTTTTTACTTCAGAGGAAATCTTTCCCTCCCCTACCCTTCACTGTGTTCAGCCATGACCGATGCATTTGCCCACATTTCTGATCTGACCTTTTCTACTCCCTTCCTGATCTGTGATAGGTTTCCCCATGGCTGCCTTTACACTCCATCAGCATCCATATTCAAAAGGATCAACCTACGTCATTTCTGCTATTTCAAGCATGATAATGCCATCATCAAATACATCTTCCTTCCTCTCCCCTGTCACAGTTCTGAAGGGACTATCCTTTCTCTAATACTTGGCGCACTTTTCTATCACCCAACGTCTTGCCTCCCGGCCAATGACCTACTATGCACTCATAGGGCCCTTTTATTCCCTCCCTTCTCACCGTCCAGGGCACAAAACCACTATCCAGGTGAAGCAGAGATTAACTTGTACTTCTTTCAACCTAGTCCACTGTAATAACTGCTCAAAACAGTTTCCTCTGCATTGGTAAGAACAAACTTAGTCAGCAAGTACAATCCTACTGTTTCAGTCACTTGTCATTTAATGCATTTTGCTGTCATGCTCACATTTCTGTTTCAGAGATACTGCAATGCTCCAGTGAAGCCCAACACAATTGCAGCAACAGCAGCTTAGTTCAGGCACTTAACAGCCTTGTGAACTCAAAATCAATAATTTATTCATTTAAATTCCCTATAGTATGGAAAAAAGCCCTTCACCCAATAAGTCCACACTGAACCTCAGAGCTTCCCACCCAGACCCATCCCCCTATAACTCCACATCCCTAAACACTATGGGCAATTTAGCATGGCCAATCCACCTAGCCTGCACATCTCTGAACTGTGGGAGGAAACCGGAGCACCCGGAGGAAACCCACGCAGACACGGAATGTGCAAACTCCACAGACAGTCGCACGAGGATGGAATAGAACCCGGGTCCCTGGCACTGTGAGGCAGCAGTGCTAACCACTACACCACCGTGCCACCCAGTTCAAGAACCTCAGACAATTAATTCTGTTCTCCAATTTGCTGTCTCAATCCCTCCCTCAGTGTCTGATTTACTTGATTTTGCTTTGAGCACAGCTGAATATATTCCACTATTAATATCTACTCTGGGTATCTCTCTCTCTTTTCTACAATCATTATGATCCCTTTGTCTTTTGTTCTGTGACAGTTGTGATCTCTTGCCTCCCTCACCTTCTAAACCATTTGCTCTCCCCATCCTTTTCTACAGTACAAAACCCATTACTTTTCCAGATCTCTCTTCAGTTCCAAAGAAGTCTTATCGGACTTGAAATGTAATGTGTTTCCTATTCCACAGGTGTTGCCAGACCTACCAAGTTTCTCTAGTGCTTTGCTTTTATTTCAAATTTCCAGCTTCTCAGTATTTTGCTTTTGTTTTAGAATTTTGATTTCCTAACACTATATTGTGTAACAGTGAAAGTCCAGGTGCAACTGCAGAGAAGGCAGAGGAAGCTACCACTGTGGGAAAAAAAAAGCCAATCAAAATTGCTGGTGATATCAACAAGGTAGTTTCCTGGGCTAACTATACTCACCCTCTGATAATTACTTACATTTTTATTACAGCACATATACCTACATGAAAAAGTGCTATATTAAAAATAAGATCCTGCCTCAGGATGTATAAGCTAGTCAACACTTTGGGAGAAATGGAACAAAAACTAAATAGAGGTTTTGTGTAACTTTGTTAGGAAGTTAATGGGCAAAGAGGGTCTCACCCATCAGCTGACGAGGTGACAAGAGGCTTGTAACATTTCCTTTGGGGAAAATGCAACACAATAAACACTAGTCAGGCACAAAGTGGCCAGTAAAAACTGAAAGAACTATGGATGTTGTAAATCAGAAACAAAAGTTGCTGGAAAGGCACAGCAGGTCTGGCTGCATCATTGAGGAGAAATCAGAGTTAATGTTTCTGGTCCGGCACCCCTTCCTCTGAAGTTCAGTTAGTTCTTGACATGATCTTATTTGTGTCAAGTGTTGTGACTCAATTAACTAACAAATGCAGTTAAAATTTTATTACAAAAAGAGAAATAAAGCTGTAGATCTCATGTCTTGCTTGTAACATACTTGAATGATTAATTAGTTTTAGTTTCCATAATGGAAGCTCAGATGACCAATAACATATTTAGTGAGCAGAATTTAATGCCCTTCCCCAATGGGAGGTTGGAAGCATTTTATTGGAGTGGGGGGAACAGAATTCAGATCTGAAACCAAAAAACTGAAGTAATATGACGTTCATGTTTGTTATACAAAATTTTATTTTGCATCTGTTACAGGCCTGAAATTACAGACTGTTTATCACAGGGCGACATTACTCAAAATACTGTCTTCAGAAAGGCCCAAGCTTAAATTATAATTCTACTATTGTGATGTTATATGTCATGCAGCATACTATACATACTAAAATAAATATCTCAAACCCATCCACAATCGTTGCCTCAATGAAGCCCATGACAACATTCCATGCAATTCGCTAGAGAGCGAGCGAGCAAGAATAATTTTGTTCCACATCTGAAATGCAATTCAACTGAAAAGGAGTTGTGGTATACAAAATCCGGTATTCAAAATAACCACACTCACCAAATAATCATCTGGTCGAATGCCAAAGAGTTCCCTAAAGTAACGAAATGCCACTGGAGCATAGGTCTTAAATCTGAAGTCAGGGAAGTGATGTGCTGGAGTCAAATTACTACCTTCACTGTAATTTAAAAGAAAACTTAAGTGCCAAACATGAATTACACTGTATTACATTTACCATATGTAGCCAAATACAATCCCTATTTATAGTATAGTCCAACAATGCACCAATGAAATTATCAACTTGCCTCAGTGTATTTCAATGCACTGACAATTCTAATATATAGTACTGATATGCGAACAGTCCTAATTTAAGTTTAAACACCAATGATACAATGATGTAAGCCAAATATATATATAAATTTTAATACGATTTGGTCAGAGTCTGGGATTATGGTTTTGGGGTTAGTAAACCCCTAGTAGGATTTTCTTTCTGACTAAAATTTATAATTAACTTGTAAGCATTTCTGTAACTAGGGCAATTTATTTTAAAAATAGTTTTTGAAGCATGGCAATAGTGCACAAAACTCATTCACTCTAATGGACTTTCTGGTTACCTTGGATTGCTTTTAACTCAACATGGTGAATAAAAAGGCCTCAAAGATTTGTTCAAGTGGTTTGGCACTTTTTAAGCTTAAAGTAAATGCTGAAAAAGACAGACTTTAAGTTTCACTTTTGATTTTGAGTAAGCAGTCTGTCATTGGAACAGGACTGGCTGTATATAACAGCGCTTCGAAGAAAGAAATGGTTGATGTAGCAAATTAGATGACCTTGGAAATAAGAGTTACAGTTAGTCACAGACCAGAAGTGTTAACATAAAAGCCCTAAAGAGGTTATGTCAAGCTCAGTACATGAAGCTCAGGTTTGTTATAGCTTCGTGAAAAAGCTATCTAGTTCCAATCTAAACATTGAAGACAGAAGTGATTTAAACCCACAAGGTGTTAGGTACTGGGATTCTGGCGTGAGCATATTACAAGTAGTCTTTATCAGGGAACTGAATCAGGATGTGTTTTGGGCACCATACAAAAAGTGTTTTGTTTCTTTTCAATACAGAAAAAGTGAGATTTGGGGTAAACAGCATTATATTTTTACTGTGTTTTAAAATCTTTGAATTTGTATTGTAAGTAGATATTTTGGATTATTCTACTTTATCTGCTTTCCTATTACAATAAACTTCCATTTTGTTGTTAAACCAATCCCTTCAGCAATGCATGGTCATGTTTCAGTGAAGGACACTTTGTTAAACCCAAAACAAATAAAAATATGATTTATCAAGCCAGATTTCTATCTGGCATCTGACATGTCCAGTAAAAATATCAGCAGAGATGATAATAATGCACACAAAAATGTATTCAAATATACGACCACAAAATAATGAGTTCCCTTTCATTTTTCTTTCAATGCAGAAATTCAATCACACTATCTCTGGAGTTTTCAATGTACTATTTCAGACAACAGTATGAGTCAAATTCAATATTATAAAGCAATTGAATTTTTACAGCAAGTGTAGAATCCCTCTTTGGCTTAATCCGATGCAAGTGCTAGTTCTATTTTAAAGAAACAAAACAAAATCAATTATGAAAGCGAAAATGTTTCTGAAGCTTAAGAGCCACATAATCAACTGATCAGATTGATGCAAGTAGCTGGACTATTTATTACTTACTACTTTGTCACATTTAAAATTCAATGAAGAAAGCAATTGAGTTTACATTAGGGCTGATTGTTGATTAAAACAAACAGTTAAAATGTTCGTTTCAATTGATCGCAAGTTAAACAGTTTAATTGATAAAATTACTGAACATAAAAAAAACAAAGATGCTGGAAATTAGGAATAAAAATCAGAAATTACCCACCTTTTCCCCAACCTCCAGTGGGATGCCGCCACCACCAGACACATATTCCCCTCCCCTCCCTTGTAAGCCTTCCACAGAGACTGTTCTCTCCAGGACACCCTGATCTACTGCTCCCCTACACCCAACATTTCCCCACACCCCCCTGGCACCTTCCCATGCAATCACAAGGTGCAACACCTGCCCATTTACTTTCTTCCTCCTTAATGTCCAAGGGCCCAGACAGACCTCCCATGTAAAGAAGCAATTTACCTGCACTTCACTCAATCTATTCTACTGTATTCGCTGCTCACAATGTGGTTTCCTCTATATTGAGGAGTCCAAGCACAGACTAGGCAACCACTCTGCAGAATACCTACGTTCTGTCCACAAAAAAGAATCCTGAGCCTGCCATTTCAACACACGACCATGCACCGTGGCCAACATCTTTGTCTCAGACTTGCTACAGTGCTCCAGCGAACCTCAGTGCAGGCTGGAAGAACACCAAATTATTTTCTGCTCATGAATCCTGCAACCTTCTGGCTTCAACGACAAGTTCGATAATTTTAGGGCCTGAGCACCTTCTCGCATGTCCTTTACCCCAACCCTCACATCCCAGACCTTATCATCATTTGGGCTGCTACCACAAACAACCCATTTTCAGCCACTAATGGTCTCCATTATCAGCCATACATTCCTAGCTGACCTTTACACATTCTTTTGTCTGCCCAACTTTTTGCTCTCGGTCTCTCTCTCGACTCCATGACTACCTATCATTTATTCCTTCCCCCTTTCCCCACCACATCTTCAGCATCTATACCAACCAGTTCCTAGCTACAATCAGTTCTGAAGAAGGGTCACTGGACCCAAAATGTTAACTCTGCTTTCTTTCCACAGAGATGCTGACAGACCTGCTGAGTTTTTCCAGCAATTTCTGATAAAATTACTGCAGCCACTCCATTCAGGCTTGTTTCATTACGGATGTTATGACATGTAATTGTATAGTGTGTGTATACAAATAACAAATATATATATAATATTTAAAGTTTTGGCAAAGATCTGTAGCTCGGGCTGTGGATGAGGTTGTTGACTTGCTCGCTGAGCTGGCTTGTTTTTGTTCAAATGTTTCATCACCATGCTAGGAGACATCATCAGTGGAGCCTCCGATGAAGCGATGTTATCATATTCCGCTTGGATTTTATACTGTCCGGTCCTTTGTGGTGAATACTATCATTTCCAGTTTTGATCTGTCTGGGTTTGTATATGTTGTCCAATTCTATATGTTTGTTGATTGAAGTATGGGTGGAGAACCATGCCTCTAGGAATTCCCGTGTGTGTCTATGTTTGGCTTGGGCTACTATGGTTACTTTGTACCAGTTAAACTGATGGCCTTCATTGTCTGAATGTACAGATATTAGGGAGAGTTCACCGCGTCGTTTTGCTGTTAGCTGATGTTCACGTATTCTGATGGCTAGTTTGTTTCCTTCCTCTCTGTCTGATGTAATGTTTGTGGCAGTTGTTGCATGGTATTTCATAAACCACGTTTGTTCTGCATGTTGTGGGAATGGGGTCTTTAACCCTACTCAGTGTTTGTCGTAGAGTGGCTGTGGGCTTGTGGGCCACCATGATTCCTAGTGGTCTTAGGAGTCCTGTTGTCAGTTCCAATATGTTCTTGATGTAGGCCAGTGTGGTCAGTGTGTTAGGTCGTACTGTGTCCTCCTGTTGTGTCTGTTTTGTAGATATCTATGGATGAAGTTGCGGGGATATCCGTTTAAAGCGAGGATCTTGTGTAATTCATTGGTTTTAAGTGCTTTTGGATTTTGATGGGTTTACCAATTAATCACAGTTGTCTTCATCTTCCCGGCACAGTTGTCCTGGCTCGTTTAAATAGCATCCTAATGCATTCTAAGGAAGGGTCACCGGACCCAAAACATTTAACTCTGCTTTTTCCTTCACAGATGCTGCCAGACCTACTGAGCTTTTCCAGCAACTTTGTTTTTGGGCCTAATGCAGCTTTGTTTGTGGACGTTGGGGTGGTTGCTGTGGACATTGAGGATTTGATCTGTATGGGTTGCTCTTCTGTATACTGAGGTTTGGAACTCCCCGTTTATCAATCGTTCTACTTTAACATCCAGAAATGGAAGTTGAGTGTTGTTTTCTTCTTCTCTTGCGAATTAAACTCCTGTGAATATGCTGTTGAAGAGGTGGTGGGTCTCTTCTAATTTGTTGCACTTAATAATGACAAATGTGTCATCTACATTCTGAATCCACAGTTTAGGTTGAATGTGGGGGAGGGTGGTGCGTTCTAGTCTTTGCAATGACTGCTTCATGACCACCTCATCAACAGCATATTCACAGAGATTAAATTTACAAGAGAAGAAGAAAGATAGATTCATACAACACAGCAACAGACCCTCAGGTCCAACTTGCCTGAGCCGACCACACATCCCAAATCTGACCTTGTCCCATTTGCCAGCATTTGGCCCATATCCTTCTAAACCTTTCCTATTCATAGATCCATCCAGATGCCTTTTAAATGTTGCAATTGCACCCACCTCCACCACTTCCTCTGGCAGCTCATTCCATACATGCACCACCTCTTTTATTGCCCCACCCTTTTTGTGGAAAAGTTACCCCTTAGGTCAATTTCATATCTTTCCCCTCTCACCTTAACCTAGTTTTGGACACCCCACCCTACAAAAAGGATCTTGCCTATTCACTCTATCCATGTCCCTCATGATTTTATAAATCTCTATAAGGTCAGCCCTCAGCCTTCAACTCTCCAAGGAAAAGAGCCCCAGTCTATTCAGCCTCTCCCTATAACTCAAACCCTCCAACATCCTTGTAAATCTTTTCTGCACCCTCTCAAGTTTAACGATGTTCCAATAGAAGGGCAACCAGAATTGTACACAGTATTCCAAAAGAAGAATGTCTCAAACCGAACTTAAGTATAAAGAATATTTCTTATGATACTGGAATCAGCTTGATAACAGGTAAAGTTTATTCTTCAATAAACTATGAAAGTTAAAAAGAAACTAGTTTCATCTTATCTTTACCCTTCCTCCCTTCAACTGCTTTTTGTCGAACATTGATTCATTTGAGCCACAATTTGAATTTTTAAAAATTCACTTCACAGTTCTGTTTATACTGTTCTTTTTAGACCATTTTCTTGTTAAAGATGGCTCTTTGCTCTATGCAGTGACCTTCAAGTTATCTACTCCATCCAATCCAACTTTGTCTTGTCACCTCATATTAAATGATACCTGCCCATCCACCCAAACTGTACGTGGAGGGACAAGTCTCCTTTATATTTTTCTTACTGTCAAGTATCAAATAACTGGGAGCAATCAGGTAAACAAATAACTTCATATTTTTAATTTGAAGAAACAAGAGGAAGTACAAATGGTATTTGAAAGAAAAGCATTGAACAGAGCTCCTATTTTGACACTATTATTTTCCCAACTTCAGCAATTATGTATTAAAATATTAATTGGCAAAATTAAATGCATTAATCAGAGAAGGCAACTGTGATTAATTGGTAAACCCATCAAAATCCAAAAGCACTTAAAACCAATGAATTACTTTGAAGGGGAGACAATATTTCAACAAATGCGATAGTCAAATTATTAAAAGCAACATCTTGCACACAGGTAAGACACAGGAACAACTAACCTTTTACCGTAAGAAAAGTGAATCATTTTTGCCTGTGGTATCAGCCTGGTTCAGCAGAAGCAGGGTCACCTCAGAACCAGGCAATTATACATTTGAGCCAATTACAAACTTAATAAGCAGATCATTACATGGTCACACTGGATTCCATGTATTATCAAGGCAGTCTTCTGGATCAAGCGTTCAGCCAAGGCACTGCCTATTTGGTGGAATTTAAAGATCTATTTGAAAAATAACATGAGTTCCTCTTTTTGTCCTAGATGCATTGTTCTCCCAACCATTAATACTGATTAAACTGATCATTCATTTCATGTCTGTGGAATTTTGCTTTGCACAAAATGGCACACATTCCCAACAGTGACTAGACCTTACCTCTGGCTAGATGTCAGTGGTCAAAACGCTTAGTAATTAAAATAGCAATAGAAACAAACAATGTAAAAAAGCATGAGAAGAGTAACTTGTTTTAGTCATTTATCTGTGCCAAAAAATGGTATTTGCAGTAAAAGGTGACATACCTAGGGAAGAATATGCTTTCAACTACATAGAAATCTTGCATCAGTACATCTCTTTCAGGCTTTGAACTGAGATTTCCTACTGTGTATCCAATACCCAGTTGAATTGCTCCTTTAAGAGTGGATGAGGTTGTCTGAAATATATTTAAGTGTCAGGTTAACCTTTATCAGTATAAAGAAACAATCAAGTTCTGTTCACTTCATGCCCTGAAGCTTGTCTAGATTTTGAGCGACATCAACAAAAGAACAAAAAAAGCTTGAAAAGAAACGTGATATTGTTGCTATAAGAACTTTACCAAACATAAAAATAATGCAGATAGTATTCAGACAAAGTTGATGAGTTTTCACAAATTTCTTAACTGAACACAGCATCTTTAGTATAAATGAAGTACTGACAAAAGAACAATTCCATTGATAAGTCATACTCTCCCTAGATTTTTGTTTTATAAACAGGGTGTTCCATAATTATCTTACTCAAGTCATTAATATTTCTCTTTCAAGGCAAGGTCTAGCTCATGCATTTGATGGCCTTGGCCCCAGAAACTTCTTTAGATTGTGTAATGCGACTAGCAGGCAGGAAATAATGCACCAAGCAGATAAAGACTGCAGCGCCAAACTAGTCTCTCAGCAATATGTCAAACATGTTTTTGTCATTGTAATGATGGTTTAAGGGTAGAAATCAAGTATCTGAATCAAAAGTTGAATCCAATTTAATTACTGTATCTTATGACATTTAAACGAAACAACTGACATTTGGAGTCAAAATTTACACGGCTTGATTAATTACTCAGCACACCACTTAAAACAATAAATATATGCATTTCACAACACAAATGTTGCAGGATTGTGCCTCAGCAAAAGATGGCACTTGCAGGGTTTGTAGAGTTTTCAGGAGGGGGCATTGTTGAGAGACAGTTAATTCATTGCACAAACTACATCAGCTTGCAAATGAATCTATATGTCTGAAATCAGAAATATCCAATTAAACTTAGACTAGCTTACACAGAAGATCCCGACCCTTGTAATGGCGTGGCTGCTGAACATCAAGGTTCTCAGTACAACCTTTCTTCCATAACATCATGAAAGCATTGTTAAATAATTGTAGTCAGTAAATCTTTTTGACCTTGTCACTACGGAAAATGACTCAAATTAATACAAGGAAAAATTCTAGAACTTAGTTGTTATACCTTGGAATAATTTGCATGGTTAAAATTACTTAAGACAATTTCTGTCAGGAAAAAAGGCTGGTCAGAAAAAGATACTTCTAGATTATTAAATGTTCAACAGATTAATTCAGATTAAAATTCAGAATGAGTTTTAATAAGGGACTTCATTAGAATATTAATTACTATTCTTTTTTCAGATGTGGTTTGATTTAGCACATTTCCAGCATTTTTGTTTCAGATTTGACCTTTAATCTTTGTTTTATCTTGGCAAATTAAACAATTATCTAGATTTTTAGGGTGTTAATCATTTTCCTGTTTACAAAACTCATTTTAAGATGACAAATTATTGTTTTACAATTCACAGCTATGATAGCATTCAAAATATTAAGTTCTATTTGTCTATGACTTTACGATTAAAACAAAAGCATAAAGACTGACTGGGAATCCCTATTTTAACTAAATTTAAAAACAATGCAATGATTGAATACCTTTTTGTATGTAGTTTCCCCAGAAGCATCTACTCCTCTGTGTCCAATCTTTCTGCTTGTAGGTGCATCGATATTTCCAGAAGAAGAGGGCATCTTGAAAAGAATGCAAGACATTAAATACATTAATTAAAATTTTGTACAAAGTAACAAACATTATGATTGTCTGCAAGAAATTTTTAGGATAGTTGTAAATGCTCACCTCAGTCAAGCATGTTTTTTTACTGAACGATTCTGTAAGTAAAGAGAAAAGCAAAACACTTGTAAAATTCATAATTAGACTCGAACATAAATTAAGATCATTATACTTAAGAATACAGGAACAAGAGTAGGCCATTCATCCTTATAAATCTGTTGTGCATCAAGTTAGGCCATGATTGGTAAGTATCATAATGCCACGTACCCAGTTTGGTTTACAGGATCAATTGTAACAAACTACAGGAAGTTTCATCGGCACTGGCAACTCTCTTTTGCTTCACCAAGATGTTACTTTTCCTATGCAAAAAGGTACTTAGAACAAGAGACCATCACAATTCAGCTTAATAAAAACTGAAAGAACTACTGATGCTGTAAATCAGAGACAAAAGGGAAATTGCTGGAAAAGCTCAGCAGGTCTGGCAGCATCTGTGGAGACAAATCAGAGTTAACGTTTTGGGTCGAATGACCCTTCCTCAGAACACCCAGTTCTAAGGATCACTCAACCCAAAATGTTAACTCTGATTTCTCTCTACAGATGCTGCCAGACCTGCTGAGCTTTTCCAGCAATCTCTATTTTTTTGTCTACAATTAAACTTAACCCTGTCCTCACCAAATGAATGCACATGTGCAAACATAATTGGAAAGCAATTAGACGAAGGAATCCTGGAAGATTATTCACCTTACTAATCCAAGGACCCAGAGCAAATATATGTCCTTGAGCTTTTGAGTTGTTGCATGCAATCACTTCGGCCATTTAACAAGTTCAATATCAACATCGAGCACTTCAGAAGTATTGTGGGTAAAATTCAAAAAGGTAAACATGCATTTAACTTTTGTTTTGACTTCTTGACCAGGAAACCTGGAAGCAAAACAATTCCATTATCTTGCTGCATTTGGGACAGTGTGACATGAAACTTAAGAACTTTTAAATTCATTCATGGGATGTGGATTTTGTTAGGTAGACCAGCAGTTATATCGATTTGCCTTGAACAATGTAAGGTTGCTTTCTTGAACTGCTGCAATCCTTGGGGTGTAGAGCCACCAACATTTGTTGTTAGTAAGGGAGTTACACAATTTTGACTTAGTGGCAGGGAAGGAACAATGATATAGTTCCAAGTCAGGATGGTAAGCAGACTGGAGAAGAACTTGCAGGTGATATTCTCATGCAACTGTCGTCCTTGTTCTACCATGTGGTCCAGATCGCATTTTTTTAAGGTGGTGTCAAAGGAGACTCATTCAGTTATTGCAGTGCATCTTGTAGATGGTACATATTGTGCACCAGTGATGAAAGGAATAAACGTCGGAAGTTGTAGATGGGGTGCCAACTAAATGGCCCGCTTTATCGTGGATGGTTTCATGCTTCTTGAATGTTGTTGGAACTGGCCTCATCCAAGCAAGTGGAGAGTATTCCATCATTCTCCTTCCTGACTTGTACCTCATACATGGTAGACAGATAATGGAGAAACAGGAGGCAAGTTACTCATTGCAGAATTCTTAGCCTTGAACGTGTTCTTGTAGCTACAGAATTTATTTGGATGGTTCAGTTCAGCTTAAGATCAATGGTAACTAAGATGTTGATAATAGGGGGGAATTCAGCAATGGGAATGCAACTGAATGTCAAGGGCAATGGCTAGATTCTCTCTTGTCGGAGGTGATCACCTTGTAGCGCGTGTTATTAGCCTCTTATCAAACCAAGTCTGAATGTTGTCCAGAGAACTTCAGTAGGTCTAGCAGCATCGGCCGAGAGAAATAAATTTAACATTGAGTCCGATATGACTCTTCAGAGCTAACAACTTTGATTCTCTCCACAGAATCTGCCAGACCTGAGTTACTCCAGAATTTTCTGTTTTTAGTTTAGATTTCCAGCATCCGCAATATTTTGCTTTTATCTGGTTGTTGTCCAACTCCTTCCACATATGGCCACGGACTGGTTCAGTACCTGAGGAGTCGTGAATGTTGCTAAAAGTTGTGCAGTTGTCAGCAAATATTCCCACTTCTGACTTTATGGTGAAGAGAATGTCATCAATCAAGCAGCTGAAGATGGTCAGACCGAGGGCACTATATTCAGGAACTCCTGCAGTGCTATCGTGGGGCTGAAATGACTCATCACCAAACACCTCAACCATCTTCCTTTGTGTTAGGTATGACTCCAACCAGAGAGTCTCCTGTTGATTTTCACCGAGTCCAACTTTCTCGGTAACCTTGATGCCATATTTGGTTGAATGCCACCTTGGTGTCAAGGGAGTCACTTTCAGCTTCCCACTGGAGTTCAGCTCTAGCTTTTTTGTCCATGTTTAAACCAAGGACCTGAGAGGCCCAACCTGAGCATCAGTGGGCAGATTATTTCTTTACAAGTGTTATTTGATATAACACAGTTGATGATTCATTCCGGGTCACTTTCCTCGTGACCCAAAGTAGACTGACAGGGCAGTTAATTAGCTGAGGTGAACTCATGTGGAAAGCAGTGTTGCAGTTGCACTGGAACAATTTGTCCAGTGGTGTATCAAGTTCCAGAGCACAAGTCTTCAGTACTATTGCCGAAATGTGATGTTGCAGACCTGAGGAGGAGGCAGAGTTGGCTGAAGATGGATGCAAATGCCTCAGCCTTGTTTAATGTGCTGGACTTACCTAGATTCTTAGGCTATTTAAGGAGCCTCATCCTTTAGTAAAATGTTTAATATACAACATCATTTTCAACTGGACGCAACAGGACTGCAGAGATAAGATCTGATCTATTTGTTATGGATCATTTAGCTCAGTCTACTGCATGCAGTTTCTGCTATTTGGCTGTTCTATAGCCTCACCAGCTGGAAATCTCGTTTTTTGATTTGCCTGATGTTCCTTCTGACAAGCCCTCTAGCCACTCTTCATTGAACCAGGTTTAGCTGCTGGTTTGGTGGTATTAATAGAATGGGGGCACATGCCAGACCATAAGGTTGAAGGCAATTCTGCTGCTTCGGATGTTCAGACTCCTGCTCATTGACTGCAGCTAAACCTTCAACACCATTGTCCCCTCCAGACTGATCTCAAAACTCCGTGACCTTGGTCTCGGCTCCACTCTTTGCAACTGGATCCTCAGCTTTCTGACCCACAGGCCGCAATCAGTGAAGATAGGTAACTGCACCTCCTCCACAATAACAGTCAACATTGGAGACCCCCACCCCACCCCACAACCCAAGGGTGCATCCTTGCCCCGTACCGTACTTCCTGTACACCCACGACTAAATTCCGAACAAATGCCATCTACAAGTTCACTGACAACACCACCATAGTAGGATGGATATCTAACAACAACGAACAAAATACAGAGGGAGATAGAAGGCTTGGTGATGTGGTGCAATGCAAACAACCACTCTCTCAATGTCAGCAAAACTAAAGAATTGATCATTGACTTCAAAAAGAAAGGAGGAGAACACGCCTCCATCTACATCAATGGAACTGAGGTTGAGTCTGGTTCCTTGGAATGATGATAACTGAACCTGTCCTTGACTTCCCACATAGATGTGGCAGTCAAGAAGGCACAACAATGCCTCTTCTTCCTCAGGCAGCTCAGGAAATTTGGCACATCCATAAGGACCCTCACCAACGTCTGCAGATGCACCATTGAAAGCATACTGTCCAGATGCATCACAGCCTGGTGTGGCAACTGCTCTGCCCAGGACCGTAAGAAACTACAGAAGGTGGTATGCACAGCCCAGACCATCACAGAAGCCAACCTTCCATCCGTGGACTCAATTTACATGGCTCACTGCCACGGAAAGGCTGCCAACATCATCAAAGACCGATCGCAGCCCAGTAATAACCTCCTCCAACCTCTTCCATCAAGCAGAAGATACAGAAGCCTGAACACACAAATGAGCAGGCTCAGGAACAGCTTCTTCCCAGCCATTACTAGACTAAACAGACTCTCTAGCCTCAATAATGCTGATCTTGCTAACGTTGATCTCACCTAGCGCATACCATGTACAACAAAACCTGTATGTCTCTGTCTAAGTCTTTCTATCCTGTAAATCCTTGCTTACTATGATCTGTCTGTACTGTTCGTAAACAAAGCTTTTCACTGTACTTCGGTACAGATGACAATAAATCAATCAATCAATAGGCCCTAACAGACACCCAGTTTGAGTTGCTCAATCTGTCCGAAATCTATCCCATTTAGTACAATAATACAGCTACACAACATGATGGAAGGTATCATTGTGAAGACAGGATTTGGTTTCCACTATGCAGTGGTTACTCCTAATGATACTTTCATAGACAAACATATCTTCAACAAATAGATTGGTGGGAATGAGGTCAAGCAGATTTTCCCCTTTTGTTGGTTCCTTTGCCACCTGCCACAGATCCAGTCTAGCAGTTATGTACTTTAGGATTTGGCCAGCTTGGTCAAACACAGTGACAGTGATTCACTCTAGGCGATGGGTAGTGAAGCTAACAGCCCATTTCTGTGCTGCTGCCACTTTCTCCAGGTGGCGTGCACCATGGAGGAGTACTGATTCATCAGTTAAGGGGAAGGTGATAGTAATCAGCAGATTTATTTGTCCATGTTTCACATGATGCCATGACACTTCATGGGGCATGGAGTCAATGTTGAGGGCTCTCAGGGTAACTCCTCCCTGATTGCATAACATCATGCCATCGTCTCTGTTCAGACTATCCAGCCAACGGGACAGGACATACCCAGGAATGGTAATGGTGTTGGCTCTGACAGTGTATAAGGTATGATTCCATGTGTATGACTATGTCAGGCTGTTGCTCTGATTAGTCTGTGGAATAGCTCTTCCAATTTTACCACAAGCTCCCAGATGTTAGTAAGGAGGACCGTGCAGGGTCAACCAGCTGTGTTTGCTGGTTTTTCCAGTGCCTAGGTTGACATTGGATAGTCTGTCTGGTTTCTTTCCTTTGCTTAGACTCTCAGCAGTATGATACAACCTGGTGCTTGCTAAGCCATTTCAGAGAGCAGTTGAGAGTAAGTCACTTTGCTGTGGGTCTGGAGTTACATATAAGCTGGGCCAGGTAAGAATGGAAGATT